TCGATGCATTTTTAATTATTTATGGGAAAATAATATTTTTTTTTCATTTTCGATTTGGGCATTACAAGTAATTAAGATGATCGTTTAGATTGTGTTTTTAAACACAGCAATAATTCCTAACTCCAAATAAACACAAAAAACAGAATATTAATTTGTTTAATTTTCCAATATTATTTTTAACAAATTAAATTAATCATTTATGTACAACTAAAATGCTATTGGATAGTTAGGACAAACATACAAAATCTAAAGTAGTTGCTCGAAATGTAAACTCAATTGTTCAATACACAATTCACATCTACGAATGATCGCACGTGGTATAGCATTATTCAAATAAGGCCTTATTAGCATATCTCTTGTGGTTACGGGAGTCTGGTACACTTTTTCTTTTAGAAATCCCCACACAAAGAAATCTAATGGATTTAGGTCAGGGGATCGTGGAGGCCAGGCGACTGGTCCTCCACGGCCGATCCATCTTTCTGGATAATTTTCGTCCAGCCAGTTTCTAACTATTCTAGAATAATGAGCTGGACAACCATCAAGCTGGAACCAGGCCAATCTTCTTAAATCTAACATAACATCATCCCACATATTTGCGTGTTCAGCCTTTAAAAATTCCAAAAAGGTCGCAGCATTTAACCTTGCAGGCAAAAGGTAGGGTCCAAATAGTCGATTACGGTTGGCTGGCTGAAGTCCTTGCACAGGTTGCAAATGGTAAGGACGTCTATGGTCATTTCTAAGAACACGGTGAACATGGCTTGCTGAAACTCCCAAGGCACCAGAAACTCTCCTAACACTTGTGGTCGGATCTCTATCAAACTCACGCAGAATCATACGGGTAAATCTGCGCTGTCGAACATTTATGTTTGGATCCCTTTGGAGATTTCCAAAACCATTTTCAATTATTTGGCGATGCACTCTTACAAATACTGAGCGAGTTGGATGTCGTCTGTTTGGAAATCTTCGTGCCTATTCTCTGGCTGCTTCTGCTGCGTTTCCTTTACAAAGCCGTACACAAAATGAATATCCGCTAACTCTTGATTGGAGAATAAAAATGGCATTTTTATAAAACTTACAAAAAAAGACAGGTAAAAGAAACTAAATTTCGTGCATTCACAATTGCAAAAAACGTTTCAGGTTTCAACAGACAACAAAACTAACTGTCAACTAATTGACGTTTAACCTTATTCTGCTTTCAATTTAAAAAGTATTTGCAGGCACAGCCTACTTCTAAAAATTATCGAGATACTGACTTTTTAACGTTATTTTATCATAAATAATTAAAAATGCACATCGAACCTTAAAAATCGAAATATCTCAAAAACGGCTAACTATAACGAAATTACAGTAGAGAGCGCTCTCTAGCGGCTACAGTAAAACTATGCCCATGGTTCGTTTTGTCGCACCAAAAAACCCTTGTATACCAATTTTCACTGTTATACATCAAATATTGTTCGAAATACTTAAAAAAAACCATTTTAGAAAATAAATTTAAACACCCTGTATTTCGGAAGCCACGCATTTTTCGACCCAAGTTTATATAGACTTTATGCATTAATTTTAAAAGTTCTATCGAATCTTAAAGTTATGCAACAATAAACTGAATCACCCTGTATATTGTAATGAACATGAACACAAGCTGGGATCAGCGTCATCAATCGTCTTCACTATTTGATTTGAGGCTATCAGAGCAAGAGTGGCCTAAGCCCAAAATCATGGTACTGAGAAAAACGCAATTTAAATTTTCGCTTTTTTTGTTTCTTTGCCAATAAGGTAGTTTTGTTTTAATATGATTTTTTTCCACTGCAACAGTTTTTAAAAGATGTCCTATTTTAAATGTTATTTCAATATTATGGGCAAAACGAAATTTGACAAAAAAAATGTGGGTTAGGCCACTTTTGTATTAACGAGAAATTGTCAGTATGCAAAGAAATTAGTTGATTCGGTGGGATAGGCCATTGTTGATAAAATTACTGAACAGTCAGGAAAAAAACGAACAATTCAAAAAATAGTAATTTTTATTAGTCTCTTAACAAAAGAAATATGTAATCACTAATTTTCACATTCACTTTCATCGCTATCAGAATAAATCTCATCGTCTTGATCATGCGTAGTTTTCAGGTTTTGATAGAACTCGTGATGAATGGGGGGAATAAAACATACAAGATCCAATAGGTCCTTTTTCTTTTAGATATCAACTTTACGTCCTTTTGGATATAACAGATTCAGCTCTTTAAAACTGTTAGAAGGGTTCCTTTTAGACACGTCAACTGAATCAAATGGAGCAAAATCTTGATTTGAGTATTTAAAATAGATTTTAAGCGGATCCGACTTTTTAAAGAGCAGCCACTGGATTTTCATCCATTCTACTTTTAATTTATTTTCGGAAATTTTTCGATTCGTTATATTCTTCTCTAAATTAACAGTAGAGTAAAAATCTGTGACTGTCATCTGAACAACTTTAAAAGGAACCTTTTTTCTTGCTGCCTTAACAACGGTTTCCCAGCTATCTGGCACATAGATGTCTTTGAAATATTTCTTTTGTTTTTCAATTAGTCCGAAATCCTGGTCACACGGTAGGTATGAGTGTCCACTGACTAAAAATTTGTGGTTAATTTCTTCAACAATGAGATCATGAGAGGAAACAATATAATTGCATAGTAGTGCCATTTTGATGTTTCTATTTTGGCCACCGCATTGGTCCGAGTACATCAATAATTTTTTTGTTTTAACTTGATTCTTAATAAAATGCAGCAAACACGAACCAATTTCCTGGGGACCTCTAGATGCAATGGATTCATTCCAGATGTACATGAATGACTCTTTGGTAGCCAAGTTATGTATGCCCAAACAATAAGTCCAGAGTTGCCTTTTATAATAACTAATTCCGGTGGAGATTACTGGCGTCGGAAGAGTTTTCATTAGATCAAAAGCAATTGCAGTTACCTCTGAATTATTTTTCGCCACAACAGCATCAGATTTCATTCCCTCTCGGGCACTCTGAGCTTTTCTTTGATGTAATTCCATTTCAGTTGTTAAACTTTGTCTTTTTTCGACGTCCATTTCAAATTTTAATTTATTTTGCAATAATTCACATTTTTTACAAGAATCAGAAACAGGTGCATGAAAGTGAAGATTGAATTGTTTTGAAAATATTTCAGAAAATATGTATTTTGATACAGGTTGTTCGTCTTTTAAACTTAGTTGTTTCTTATAGAGGTCATACATTATACTCAAATTCAAATCTGGGGCTAGGTATCTCCGATGTGGATTTTTTCTCCTGGAATAGTGTGACTGATAGCTTGGAAACCTTTCAATGAATTCTTTAACTTTATCAACTTTATGATCCGGCGTTTTGTTAGCAGAAGGCTGTTTTCCCCTACCATCTGTCGGAGCAGGCATGGCTTTTGATTTGTTGACCAAAACTCTGGTTATTCTGCCATCTGAGACTTTAAGTACCCCTTTAAAAAAGCTTTTACATACTTTTATCTTGTTACCTGTGTCATCTTGTAAATAAAATAAACGGGTCTTTTGTCGTCTGGAAGTATTACCATTGCTGGTATAGACTCTTGATTTATTCACAACATCGACGCAAGAAAAAAGGTAAGCCGACTTCAAATCAAATGATTCAATTTTGTAAAATGCTTGGAAAATAGCCTTTTGTCGCTCTGGGAGAATCTTTTGCCAACAAAGATCTGTACAGCAGTTGTCTACATTATTAAAAACTTTTGCGGGAACAAGTTTTTTTGATCTCCTACTTATGTATGCTTCTCCAAGATTCCTTTTAGTTTTTGTCACATTGCGTTTCCACTTGTTTTCATTTCTTACGCGCATCATTTTCAGTGTTTTGGGGCTCAGCGTCAAACTCATGGGACATGTTTAGCTCCGAGATAGACTCAGACTCGCTTGGAGGATATTCAGAACCTGAATCTTGAAAAGGTTCATCAGGCTCTTCGTCCGATTCTAAATAAAAAGAAACATGTACGTTATGCTAAACTTTTTTTATAATTTTGATTAGTTTGCAGCTTTAATTCAATGCGTATAATAGACAAAACTACTTATTAAAAATTGAATGGGTATTTTTTTAAGTTGAGATCATTGGTAATGTCTCGCAAACAGAACAGAGAAATAGAAGGCATTTACAATGGAAAAGCTAGTGGAACCTAACCTAAAAATATTTCTCATAATTTTGGAATATTATACCACTTACCTGTGAATGTATACGATGTGGAAGCCATTCTTATTGATAATCAAACTCCTTATTTTGTATTTACACACTTTTAAATGAACAGAAGCAATCAAAAATCGTGTCTTGATTATACTGGTTTATACCACGTTTCTTTTCTAGTAAAATTATAAAGCAACAGTGGCCTATCCCACAATTTGTGGCTTAGGCCGGTGTTGCTCTCTAGTTGAGACTTTTTAATGCAATGCAAAAACAGATTTGGTGGTGCCATCTCTTGCAATGTAGTCAAATGTGGCATAGACCACTTTCACCCTAAAATATACCTTAAGAATCAATCATTTCTGTATCAAACTCACTTTTGTATATTTGTGGCTTAGGCCACTCTTGCTCTGATAGCCTCATTTATTCTGTCTATAAAATGAACGTTCACTCTTTCTGCTATAATTATTTTTTCTGTCACTACCCCATCTTCGGAACGCATTTTAGATAATGCAGTATTTACAGGTATATTTGCAGAAACAATATTCTTTAATGTTTTCCACATCATTTTAGAATCATTGTTATTGCTATCGATCTTATTATCATAGTATTTTTTCTTTTCCTTCCCGAGAACCTAAACACTCATTTTTTGATTTTTTTGGGTTCACTCTTTCATACACTATTTTCTTGACCAAAGTTTCTCTCATATATTTATCCATAATTTGTTCTAAGTATAGTGTGGTGTAAAAGCGTTTCTCGTAAGCCAGTAAGTAGCCGCATTGATTTGCTTTTGCTTTAATCAGCTATCAAATTACCAAGTAGGTTTATTAACTATGTATATTGTCCATTACCTGGAGATTATTACATCATTAACCATAAAGTATTTTTGTAAGAAGCAGTATATTATCTATGAAACATTGTGATGTACATGATTGCTCAAAAATCTACCTGATGTACTTTTTATAAGATTCGAACTGTTTACAGTGATACAATTTTACCATAATTATAATTTATTGAAACCACTAGCCTTTTTATATACACTATAATACACCCTTAAATATACAGCGATCCATCAGCAGGACCTAGATAATGCAATGATATCAAAATAACATCAATGATTGTCCATACGCCCATTCCCCCAAAGCTAAACAGTTTCCCAATGCCCTCTTGCCAGTGCCCTAAATAAAATCTATCAGCTCCGAAGCCTCCTAGTGTTATGCTTAGAGCTAGAGCTGTGGACCAACGGTAACCACCCGTCCAGTTGCAATGTACATTTTTCTTGAATTTTCTGTTACCTGAAACAATTTACAGCCTTTCACGTTCAATTCACTATCTCCCCACAATGTGGTATTAACGACAATTGAACAGAATATTATTTTTTTAATGCCGACATTTTGAAGTCACTGCGAAAATAATCTCTTCCAAAGTTCAAACATAAAACAATTTTTCAGGGTGTAGATTACCCTATTCGGAAATTTTGAGGCACATTATTTGACCCGTGTTACAGGGCTTTGGATCATGACACCTGGGGAACCGTGTATAAGCATTTCAATATGTCGCTCGAAGATCGGCGAATCACGATCCTCATCCCATCCTCATGTCTTACAACAAATGAAGGACCTTTCAGCCCAGGCATAGCGTTTCCGAATTTTTTTTTTAGACGGCGTCAACTTCTATGGTTAAAAAAAAACTAAATATGCAAATTCCAGATATTAATCGAAAAGGATATACTATTGTCATTTACTTTCAGATTCTATTAGCAACAAAAGATAATCTCTGGGAAGTGTTACACGACTAAATTTGTCAGGCATATACAGTGAAAGCTCTCCTTGCGGACAGCTCCTACAAGCGGACATCTCTTTTAACCGGACAAAGTTCCTGGAACCGAATTTCAGCCATCAATTTTCAATGTTAAATGCATTCCGATAAACGGACGCTCTTATAAACGGACGCGGACACTAGATTTTCCTGTATGTGATCAAAAAATCTCCCATAAGCGGACGCGAAACTCTAATACCCGGACGATTTTTTAGTTCCGCTTATTGCAATGCACATATCTACATACATAAAATTCGGTGATTCCCCGATTTATGTTAGGTGATTCCCCATTTACGCATTTCGTTGGGTAGCCTGTATGTAATCTTGTGGCTTGTCTTCAGTTCAGGCAAATTCGTAGTTGATTGAGTTACGTATTTTATTATTGTAACTGTAAAATGGCACCAAAAAAAAGGATGCTCTCGTTAAAGGAAAAGATGGAAGTTGTTAACGTATTAGACAGAGAAAGTGTTTCAGTTCGTCATTTGGCAAAGAGGTTTAATATTGGGAAAACGCAAGCAGCTGAAATTGCCAAAAATAAGGAAGATATCAGGAGTAAATGGCAATCAGGAACTAATATAAATCAAAAGAAGGATTTTTTAAAAAAGGAAGGCTTTGCTATAGACAAAACATGTTTTGAGTGGTTTGTGAAAGCTAGAAGTCAGAACATTCCAATCTCAGGGCCGTTAGTGAAAATGAAAGCTAAAGAAATCGCCACTACTTTGGGCTATAATAATTTCAGTGCGTCCGACGGGTGGCTGCAAAAGTGGCGCAAGAGACATAGTGTGAGTTTCAAATGCATATCTGGCGAAGCTGCTGCAGTAGATCAAGTTGATGTGTCACAATTTTTGGAGAAACTTCCGTCCATGTTGCTTGGCTACAAACCAGAAGATGTGTACAACGCAGATGAGAGTGGACTTTTTTTTCGCGTATTGCCCGACAAAACTCTGTCCTTTAAAGGAGAAACATGTGTGGGTGGAAAGTTGTCTAAAGATAGACTAACCATTTTATTTTGTGCAAATATGGCCGGTGAAAAATGCGATTTGATTGTGATCGGGAAAGCGGCTCGTCCCCGTGCTTTAAAAAACGTTGCTATTAAGGATCTACCAGCGACTTGGAAATCCAACAAAAAGGCATGGATGACCCGAGAAATCATGTCTGAGTGGTTAGTCGAATTCGACCGGAAAATGAGAATCCAAAAAAGGCAAGTTCTTTTATTTTTAGACAATGCATGCTCTCATCCTCGTGATATGAAAATGAAAAATGTGAAAATTATATTTTTACCGCCAAACACAACTTCTGTTTGTCAGCCCATGGATCAAGGTGTCATACAGAACTTTAAATTTTATTATCGGCACTTGATTTTAAAACATATTTTAACAAAAATTGACGATGGTCAAAGCTTATCTGAGCTTACAAAGTCTATCAATGTGTTAGAAGCTTTGTATTTTATAAAAACAGCATGGAATAAAGTAAATTCCTCTACAATTAAAAACTGTTTTGGCAAAGCTGGATTCAGTGAATGTAGCTCAGAATTTGCTGAGCAAAATTATTGCGATGCTGAAGACGATCTGCCCTTAGCGACACTTGCTCAGTTACTGCGACATGCCAAACATTTAGGAGTAGCAGATCCCCAGAAAGTAGATGATTTCCTGGCCATAGAAAATAACATAACAACAGAAGAAAATGCCATTGGCAACTTTTCGAATTTGGAAGTAGAAAGCCCAGGCCAACTTGAATATGGTAGTCCAAACGACTCAGAAGAAGAAGTGGAACTGGTGGACTCACTAAGCGGTTCAAAAACGATAAATTCATATGGGGAAGCTCTAAATCATATTTCTATATTGAAAAAATTTGCTAAAGATGATTTCACTGCATTTGAACATTTGAAAAATTTAGAAAGTCATTACGAAAATTGTCTCCTTCAGCAAAAGATGGTGAAATTTCGTCAGACAAACATTTTAAACTTTTTTCAACAAGCTAAAGAATAATGTTTTTTTTAAATTCTCGTACCATGTATTGAAGCATTTATGTTTGTATGCGTATATGTACATATATTATATAGATATATAGCATAAATACATACTTTAAAAATGTGACGAGTTTCTGTTTCATTTTTCTCATGATTATAATACCTCATTTCCTCATGATTATATACCCCGTTATTTATACTCTATACTTACATACTCTCTTTTAAACGGACACCTCCCATAAGCGGACAAAAGTTACGGAACCGTGAGTGTCCGCTTATGGGAGCTTTCACTGTATTCATCAATATTAATTTTTTTTTATGGTCATTATCTGCATTGTTTGCGTTCTCGAAAGTATTTCGATTTATACAAATTCTATTGCTACATATTTCTTTTAGTTCCAGATGACAACACTAAGATAAGGTAGGTATGATGCAAAATCCTCGTTACATAAGATTTATTTAAACTCAGTTGAGAATAAGATACGCAAAAATTAGAATGGTTCATTTCCAAAAAGTTCATTAGGTCAGATCTTCCAATAGAAACCAGATACTTTTAAGAATGATATGACGTTTTTCAGTTTAAAAAATTCCTTGTTTCTGAAAAGAATGTGGGAACTCTATTTTCGAGGCAACCCTCGTATTTAAAAGTTTGACACCACAGGATAATATTTTTCTTGAACATACCTAAGCATAATATTTCATCCTTAACTGTACAGTTTGTAGTATATATCGCTCGTGGTGAACTGACCGAATTACAATTTGCCATTTGCTCACAATTGTGCTCCCAAGGCTCAGTTTGGTAGCAGTACTGACAAGTATATTCTTTTGTAAATTCTTTGGGGCCCTAAAAAATTACAAGCTTATAATTCTCATCAATGCATATATGAACAAGGGATGAGCAACCAAATATGCTTGAATGGGGTGTCAGATGATTTGTAGATTACTAGATCAGTCTTTTAATGGAAATCTCTCAAGTTATTCACACTTTTCTGTATGGTAGATACTCAATCCTGCTTTGTTAATAGAAAACATCAACATGAGATTCACTTGAAAATTGTGGATTTTTAATCTGTTTAGCACCCAACTTGTCATTTACTTGCCTACCTTACAACTAATCTGTTCATAAACTCTGCAAGTAGCATTCAGTCTCGAACCATAACGACAAGCTGTGGTTACATTGCAGCTAATACAAGGCTCATGAAGGTTTATGCAGTTGACATTCGATGGACAATTCAAATCTTTCTGAAAATTGAGTTTGTTAAAAACATATCATCGCCTTGGAAGAAGACTATCACAATTTGAGACATTTTCAGTTGTTTCCACAGAGCAACTCAAAAAGATTCCCAGATCAGAGAAAAATTATTGCAATTTGAACTTGCCATATTATTTACTAGATGAAGGGACCGCTTTCTTTTATTTATCAGCTTTTATGTATGTGCCACATAACTAGATGTCTTTTACCATGTATTGTGTGTGTGGCTCTTGTGTTTCAAGAAAACAGTCACATAACATAGGGCCATATCATCAGTTGTTCCAACAATTGTAGGATGCCTTTATGACCTATTTTCATAGCATTTTCTCTTCTTCAGAAAGGCTGGGGTATTTCTACTGTTCCATGTCACCACCAGCCCTCTCCTAGTTGTGTTTTTTCTTGAATTGTAGGGAATTTCAGGCAGATAAAACATGATAAAAATCTAAAGCATGCAAATAGATATTTGTAACATAACCTCAAAAAAGAGAGCCTTTATGAAGTACAGGAAAAACTATAAAAATCAAGGCCATAACAGCGTCCTACAATTGTAAGAATGACATGGCTCTTTTTATTTTTACAACAGTCATATATCTTGTTTTTTGTGGAAGTCACAACAATGTTTTTTTTTAAATATTTGTGCAAAAGTAAGCCATTGGATACTGTTTCTGACTCCTATTGTACTGTACATCTTTAATAATAATTAATTAATTTGTTAGAAAATGTAGATTTCTCATTGTGAAAATATGTTTAACCAGCTCCCGTGAAAAATTTTGGGTTAAAAAAGTCTTCTTCCAAGGTACCAGGTTTTTCACAGTTTGGAACTTACTGGTTGTTGGTTATCAGTAGGACTTTTCTCTTTTTCAACATTACTAATCTTTGAGTGGGTAATCAGGTTGTCCTCTGAAAGATGGGTTTCTGAATTCTAAAAGAAATCATGTAGAATATTATCATACATACCCATGTTCATTCTTGTTAAAAACGTGAGTAAAATAAATACGGCTTGTCGTATGTTTATATGTAAGCATTTCATATTTTCATAAGAAATTTTCCAGAATTTAAAATATCTACAATCCTTATCCTCAATGAACTACATATCTAAACAGGCAGACTGCGCGAAAATAGCTTACATGCATTAAAAAAATATGAACTTATTAAACTTAGGATCTTAGGAACACTTTTTAAATCCTTTTTTGTTGAACATAACCACAAACAAATAATACACTGACAGTACTGACAATTGACACTCGAAACCACAGAACGTCAAATTAGATTAGTTGGACCAGATGCCTACCTATTTTTTACAACACACGTTTTGACAGAAGCCTTCCATTCTATCCGATTAAGACTTGACACGATTTGGAACTTTAAACTAAATGATGGTGAATTCTAAAATTCCTCATTAACTTTTGCCCACATTTACGACCTTGTCAACCTAATTCATGAGCTTTTCATGGTTTTTAGGGATTCTAATGTACTTGTCACGTTGATATTGGCTGTCCGTGTTGCCTGTTTCCTCAACGTTTTCTTGTGACGTTTTCAAGTCAAGTGACAAGTGGTATTTATGTGCTTTTCATCTATTTTGGTGTATTATATTTTGGGCTTGTATTGTGCCCTTCTATTTTGTAGGTGGTAATTTTTGATTTTTATTATTGAATTTGGGGTGTGTAGTCTTTTTATAAATATGAAGAACGATTCTGAAGATGAAAATTTTGCCCATTTTCGCTTTTATGAAAAGACGGGAAGATGCGAATTTAGCTTCTACCTTGATGTCGAAATACCCGATGTTGGTGTTATTAAAGAGGATATACAGGCAGCTAGACAAACTAGCGATACAATTTCTTCATTGCTGAAGCATATTCAAAACAAATTGAAGAAAAGTATTCATGACAAGTTTTCTAAAGATGGAATTTGTATACCCACTTCTCTTCGAGGAAGTAAGTAAACGCTTTTAGTAGTGTATGGTGAGTTCATGCTTCTCGTTATATTCATTATTATAAGCCACATTCTGGGCCAAATGTTCCCCAAAGTATCTGTAGAGCCTAAACATTCATTAAAATTACAGTCTTAACGTTTTACCAAAACATGAAAATGTATTTTTATTGTAGATTAATGGAACCTTAGAATAATGTAACACCCGTGGTTGTCTGTTGAATCTCCATGTTTCACTGTCCACCAAATCAAAATTGTAGATGTAGAATTGAAGATTTACTAATATTTTGGCCACCTTGAGGATGATGAAGTGCATGATCACTTGTATGAAATTTTCATACCAATTTAGGACCACACAAGGTGTTCTGAAAGTTGGGATTTGTCTTTTCAAGAATGACTATGCTTGAAATCTTAATCCTAATAAACAGTAACAAAAAGGAAACATACTTTTTAAAGGAACTATCGACCTCCATTTGACGAGGAATTTTATGCACTGCCATGTCCACAGTGTTTTTAATTACTTTGTTGTCACCATTTCACCATTCATTTCCAGAAACATGTTTGTTTATTTGTTGAAGATTTATTTTGCATTAATGCTACAATGTAAGTTTAAAAGTTATTTGTTTACATCCAGTTTCTGTAATTTTACGTTCTTGTCTATTAAAATTACATCACTATGCATTTCGAGTAGTCATAAAGTAAGTCTTAGAATTTCACTTTAAACATTTTCAAATTCGAACACTGTTTAATATCATCATTCAATTTACTAAATTCAAATACTCGCTTTTGAAATACAGACCTACTAGTTATGATATTATTACAATTTTTCAGATGAAAGTATATGCTGCCTCTAGTTTCGTAATTATGTAGTAGTAGTAGAAAGATTTATTTAGCACATTTGGCTACATAAACAGAACAATTGTAAACAACTTAGAACTAGTAAATTCAAGCCATATGGTGTATGATGTAAATGCTGGGCAACCTATAATTGTAGATTTAACAAGTGATTTCTCAATTTTACTTTAAATTTTGTCAAAGTTTTCTGGTCTTTTATCTCAGAGTATAATTTATTATATTCAATCAACCCTTGATGGAATACAGTTTTGTAGCCTATGTTATACTTTTTGGTCATTAAATGGAAGTCATCTATATTTCTGGTATTATGTAAATGATGGTCGACATTTGATGATGTTAAATTAGTTAGACTTGATGGAAATATATTATTTTTTACTTTATAAATGAATATCATTACAAGATATTTGATAAAATTTTTTACATTGAGCCATTTTAATTTGCTAAGCATTTGCCTAATTGGAGTATATTTATCTTTATTTAGTATTATTCTCATGCACTTATTTTGTAAAATTTGCAGTCTTTCAAAAATGGAATTATTTGCTAAATATAGAATAGTCGAACAGTACAAGAAATTTGGAAGAATGATGGTATTATAGATAATTTTTCTGCTATATGAACTCAGAGATCCAGAAACTCTCTATAAATATCCCACTTTACTACTAATCTTATTTATAACTTTTTCATAATGAATATCAAAAATTAAACGAGAGTCAACAAAAACTCCCAGGTATTTAAAATTTTCTACGAATTCAATATCTTCACCATCAATATTCAGTTGAACATTTGTACATTGCTTTTTTCTGATTAACAAGGCTTTCGTTTTACTTGCATTTAATTTTAGTCTGTTAGATGCTAACCATTTTGAGACAAGCTTCAAGTATTCATTTATATAAGAGATACCAGACTGAATATTTTTAGTACTTATATAAATCATAGTGTCATCGGCGAAAATTTGAATTTTGCATATTTTGACTATGGCAGGTAAATCATTTATGTATAAAATAAAAAGAAGTGGTCCCAGGATACTGCCCTGTGAAACACCCAACGTATTTTCAATTTTTGATGAAATAGTGTCATTAAACTTTTGTAACTTGCATCCTTTTAGACAAATAATTTCTAAACCAATCTAAAACACTTCCTGTTATACCATATGCCTTCAATTTACCTAACAAAATATCTCTATCAATCGTTTCAAATGCCCTCTTCAAATCCAAAAATACTGCTATGACAACTTCTTCTGAGTCTATGGCTCTTCTCCAATTCTCAGTTACCAACTGGAAAGCTGTTTCTGTGGAATATTTTTTTTGAAAGCCTGCTTGCGCCTCCACTAAAATTTTGTTTTCTTCTATTAACTGCATTAATTGGTCATGCACTATGGACTCTAATAATTTTTCAATGTCTGGTAACACATTTACTGGTCTCATATCGCTGCATCTTTTAGAATTTTTTATTTTGGGAACTGGTGTTATTGTAGAGCATTTCAAATTTTCAGGGAAAGAACTGCTTCTCAGTGAACAATTGATCCAATTTATGATAATGACTATTTAATTTTGTGAAGTTTTCTGAATGTGATGGTAATAAATTTTTTATTTGAATATGAAAATGAAACTTAGAACTAAATAACATATGAATTTTGTTTTTATTTATAATGATTCCCATAGCTTTATTTTGTAGAATTTTCACTACTTAACAATCCTAAAGCAGTGTCCAAATATTTGTCTGCTATACAGGGTTATCCAAATTAAGTGTCCACCATTAGTAACTTTGTTATTAGTGAAAATACAAAGTTGTTTGAATTAGCAAACTAGTAGCATTTTTAACGCTGGTAAAAATGAGAAATAAAAAAAAACAATTGAGAGTCGTTATTTTGATTTTTTTTCAGTAAAATAACATTTTTTTAAATGGAAACCCCTGTATATTATATTTTTTTCTGTTAAAGCATCAAATTTTAAACAAAAAAGTTCATAATGACTTTTCCGCTAAAGTCAAAAATAAAGTCAAAATAACGATAAATATTTTTAATTATTTGCAGTATTATAATATTAAGACGGCTATGAAAACAACATGGCGTTCGCGATTTGACAGCATTAAGATAAGCGACAAATTGTTAAACTGGACATACTCGCAACTAGAAGGCTTTGGAAAACAATGATAAAATCAAATAATGTCAAACATTAGTGTAAATACTTGTTTATAAGCTTTATTGTGTCATTAATTTAAAGAAAAATGTTCTCCCATGAAGAAAAGTGTGATATGTTAGAATGCTATTTAGTGTGCAGAAAATCCTCCTTGAGAGCAAGAGAATACTACAGTGAATTATATCCCGCTCGCATTCAACCGTATGAACGATATTTTCTGAGACTTTATCGAAAATTTAGGGGCAACGAAAATGTTTTTGGTAAAACAAGGGCGAAAAAAGAATTCATAATAAGCGAGGCCACGGAAATTGCAGTTATTGGATATTTTGAAGCTTATCGAGAGAATTCAATAGCAGATATTCTCAAGGACTCTAATTTCAGTTATGGTACTGTTCAAAGGATTTTAAAAAAATACAAATTTATTCCGTATAAGTACCGACCAGTTCAAACGCTTTTGGCAGGGGATCCAGAGAGAAGACTTGTTTTTTGCCATTGGTATCTTAGCTTCTGTCGCCAAAATGTAAATAACTTTCGTTACCTTTTATGGACAGATGAATCAAATTTTTCAAATTCTGGAATGTTTAATAGAAAAAACCACCATTATTGGTCAAGAGAAAATCTTTTGTTAGTACATCCAATAGGCCCACAAGTCCGTTTCAGTTTCAACGTTTGGTGCGGTATAATTGGTTCAAAAATTGTTGGCCCGTTCTTTTATGAGGGAACCCTAACTGGTGAAAGATATGTGGAATTTATGTCAGAAATTCTGACTAATTTCTTAGACGAATTGGATCTTATAAGTAGACATCATCTGCATTTTCAGCAAGATGGCGCACCTGCCCACAACTCCAGAGGTACTTATCATTTTCTAAGTACTACTTTTAATGATCAGTGGATAGGAACAAATGGCCCAATACAGTGGCCTCCCAGATCACCAGATCTAAACCCACTTGATTACTTCTTGTGGGGTTACTTAAAGAACCAAATTTACAAGCGAAGGTACGATAACCTTGACGCGTTAAAGACTGCAGTTAGGGAAAAGATAACCCAGATAGATGGTAGGACCATACTTAAGACAGTTCGAGCAGTTGAAAAACGTGCCCAAAAATGTATTGAAGAACAAGGTGGTGTTTTCGAGCCTCTTCTTTAAAAAAAATTGTTATTGTATTTTGTAAGATTATAAGTTGATGTTGAAAATAAAGTTTGTCGATACAATTTGATTGTTTCAGATTGGAGGCCATAACTTCAACAATTTGTAACCTAGGAGAAAAGTTATTGTAAGCTTTTTTGTTTAAAATTTGATGCTTTAACAGAAACAAATATAATATACAGGGGTTTCCATTTAAAAAAATGTTATTTTACTGAAAAAAATCAAAATAACGACTCTCAATTGTTTTTTTTTTATTTCTCATTTTTACCAGCGTTAAAAATGCTACTAGTTTGGTAATTCAAACAACTTTGTATTTTCACTAATAACAAAGTTACTAATGGTGGACACTTAATTTGGATAACCCTGTATACGAGTATATATCAATGTATCTTCTGCCAATATTTGAATTTTGCAGTGTTCTAAAATGTCAGAGATATCATTTATATAAATAATAAATAGTAATGGCCCTAATTTCAACTTCTGTTTTTTGACTTCTATTTACCAAATAATTTTGTAAAATGTTTAATACTGAGTCTTTAAAACCATAGTGATGCAATTTCATTAACTGTTTTTTTTTCCTATCTATAGTCTCAAATGCCCTTTTGAAGACTAAAAATACTGATAAAATCTCATCTATACTTCTTCCCCAGTCATCCACCACCATTTGGATTGCTGTTTCTGTAGAATCCAGCTTGATTTTTTGTAAAAATTTTGTTTTCTTCAAAGATTTCAGATAGGTCAGAATGTTGAACTTTTGGCACAGGAGTTACGGTGGAACATTTTAAAATTTTGATGGGAATTCACCATGTACTAAACAATGATTCACCAATAATAATAATTTCTCTATAATATTGAAATAGTATTCGCTTTTTTGAGAGATCCTCATTGGATTTTTATTAGATATCAATTCTGAGATAGCTTCTGATGAGTTATGATATACAGTAGCGGATAAAAATTTGAAAACATTCTTAATGATTTTTAAAAAGTGCGCTAATTTTTTATCCTTTATTATTAAGAACTATTTTTTTCCTCATATAGTTTGCTTACAGTCTTGAGGATACAAATGACAATTTGTGTTTGCTGTGGTACTACGGACTATCATTAAAATACACCTGTACCTTAATATTATTTTATAACCAAAAATGAGATGGTAAAAGTATGGAAACATATTTTTTATTACAAAATTAAATACAATAACCCTACAAAACGATTTAAAAAATACTGTTTAGCATTCAACACTGCCTGACATCTGCAGCTCATACAAGACACCAATTTTTTGGTTGGCTGGGATATTTTGCCAAATATTTTCTACATAATCAAATAAATCGTTCGTATTTCTTAAAGTTTTTCTTGTCAGCTGTCTTTTAACATACTCCCAGAATACGTTTAGGGATTAGGTACAGGGTTTGCGAACTCCATGTAAGATCTTTAACATTTCTTAGTCTTAACCGTCCTTTGATTAATTTTGAGGTATGCTTGGGGTCATTATATTGCTGGAGTGTCCATCGTAAAGGCATTTTTTCTTCAGCAAAAGGGAGCATGTCTTCACTAAGAATATATCTTTGGGAAGTTTTTGATCCATTTTCCCAACAATTTTAACAATTCGTGCTGTTCCAGAACTAGAAAAACTGTAGTATTTAAAAAAACGTTTTTTTTCATTTTGAGACAATTTTAATATTGATAAGATAAACCTTGTATTAGTACGGATGCCAAAGGTATACTTTAATATTTATATTATTTGCTCCTTAACAATTTTAATTTAGGTATATGAAATAATTCATAATACAGCAGACGCTCGATAACGTAAACACTGGATAATGAAAACTTGCGCTAATGTAAACACAAACTTCGTTCTAGAGGATCAAACGGAACGCGCGATAACGTAAACAATGTGTACGCTCGATAACGTAAACAACTCTCGGCGCACGGAAACAACGCGACGGTAAAATGCTGAAGCCTCGATGATTTATGTCGGGCGTCGGGGAGTCCCCGATTTATGATGTAGAGTGTAGGGGATTCACCTCTGCGATAAAATACGACAAACTCGGTCAGTCGTATGATCGTTTAGGATACGTTTATACGTACGTATGTATTTCATTTTTGAACTTAAGTGAATACATTGCACGCGTTAATATATTTTACGACTATGGCATCCACATCCTATAAAAGAAAGTGTTTAAAGTTGAGTGAGAAAGTGAAAATCATAGACGAAGTTGCACTAGGTGCGGGAGTGACACAGTTAGCAAAAAAATATGGATTATCGAAAGCAACAATCTGTAAAATGAAGCGTATGAAAACTCAAATTTTACAAAGGACGTGCAATACATTTGGAGGTCCGGGAAAAAGAAAAACTTTAAAAAATGCGAAGGCACCTAAAATGGAAATTTCCCTGTATAAGTGGTTTTTAAAACAACGGGAAAATCATGTCCCAGTTAGTGGCGAAGTACTTAAACAGAGAGCGAGACTGTTAAATGAAAAACTGAAAGAAACTAAAAATTTCGTAGCTAGTGATGGCTGGCTACAACGATTCAAAACAAGATATGGAATTCGACTGCTGTCTATATCTGGTGAAAAATTATCAGCACAACCACAATTAGTGCAACCATTCAAAGAAAAATTGATGAAAACAATTACCGAGCTAGATTTAAGAATGGAACAAATTTACAACGCAGATGAAAGTGGCCTTTATTGGAAAATGGAGAACACCTATGCTGCATCATTTGAAAAATCTGCCCCGGAAAGAGCCGGAGAAACAACGAATAACGTTTCTAGCCTGCACTAATGCTAATGGTTCACTCAAAATAAAGCCACTGGTAATTGGGAAAGCAAAAAATCCGCGCTCATTTAAAAATTTTAATATCCCTGTTGATTATAACTGTTCAAAAACTGCTTGGATGACTAGCAGTATATTCCTGAAATGGTTCTACAGGTGCTTTGTCCCTCAGGTATGACAATCAATTATCACAAATGCTCTATTCATAATGTGTTTTCAATTTGTAAGTAAAAGGTTTCCTGAAACAATAGAAGCTTCCAATAAAAGCGTTGTTACTATTGGATAATGCACCAAGTCATCCTCCCGAGCAACAACTGAGGAGCAGGGATGGGTCAATTTAATTCAACCCATGGACCAGAATATAATAAGGCTCACCAAACTATACTATAGGAAGTTTCTACTTTCGTCTGTCTTATCAAAGAATCCTGAAAACTTATCTGAGGCTTTAAAAAAAGTAACATTACGAGAAGCTGTTTTAGATTTACATATGGCCTGGAATGAACTTAACCAGCAAACTATTCGAAAATGTTGGAACAATCTCTTTTGTACCAATAATGAAGATGATGAAGAAGACGATGTCCCCTTAAGCGTAATTGGAGAACGTTTGCGATCCAATAATGATAATGTTATTAGTGTGTCATTGGATGTTGTTGAAAACAGTGAATCCCAACATTGTTTGTACTCCTACTGATATTAATTTATGGAACGAAGATAAGCAGACGAATGATGCTGATAAAGAGGAGGATATGGACAGTGAGGATGATGAGAACGATCCCATTGAAGGCAGAAGTGTAGTGACTGACGTGCAAGCTATACAAGTTTTTAACCAAGCTTTAGATTGGGCAGAAAGAAAAGAAGTTTCATACACGGATATTTTAGTTCTTCGTAAATTACGGGCGCAGGCATTGGAAGACAATGCTAAGCGCAAATTTACGCAGACAAAAATTGTTAATTATTTTTCTTCTAATTAAAAAAATACTTATCGCTGTTAGAATATTTGTTTAGTTTGTTATAAATAGTATGTATTAAACGTTTCTTTTAATAAATCAAATATTATATAAATCACGTTCGCTAATGTAAACATTTCGATAATGTGAACCACACTTGGATTAAATTAGTTTACATTATCGAGCGTCTGCTGTAATGTTAATATATATGTTTCCAAACTTTTGTCCGCTACTGTACCTGTGATGAACATAAATTGGGATCAAAAATCGTCAAAAACGCCTTACGTAATTAATGGAAGCTCCCACAGAATAGACAGCAGCTAAACTTGAAACGTTTTTTAGCTAATCAGGACCTACAAGGCACTATGAAACTAGGTACCTTGGGAAAATCCTTATCTGATGGCAAAACTGTGATGTTTTCTATATGGGGCCAAGAATACACAATACTGTATAATACCCCCTTTATTAAAGAAATGAAATTACTGCCTATATTATTTGCTGGATGTTCCATAAAACCAAAGTTCTATCCACCTTTCATATATATAAATATGTCCGAATTTGTTTGGTACAAATCTAAGGATAAGGAGCATTGGAGTGAAGTTGGAACAGGTGAGCATGTCCAAACTTATAATTTTTAATCTAATAATAATGATATAAATGTGGAACCAATGTATAACCCATGCAGAATGAAGCATTCATGTACTCAGAAATACTGTATGATTCCAGCTGAACAAAAATCCCTTTCAGGCTTTTTTTGAAAGTTCCTTTACCTTCCATCATTTGTTATTTAGGTAGTTTATTGTACAACTTTGCGTACATATACTAAGTGACATATAAATCCGAACATCCAGTTTAAATGGTTTTATTTTAATAAAAGTTGGTGAATGTATTTATCTTACTGTAAATAACAAGTGAAAAATTTTCAGCCTTATCAGTTGGACATTTCGGTTTTTATACTGCTTTTTTTTTAAATTCACTAACGCTCTAAAAATGAATATTTCAGCCGCAGTAAAGAATCAACGTTATCGGATTTTGGTTCTTGACATCCTTTACGATCGGTTACGATGCCTAGAGTACGGAGACCTGTATGATTTCGTCAACTTAGTGAGTTTGATAGGGGCCGTATAGTGGGACTTCGGGAAGCTGGACTTTCTTTTCGGGCAATTGTAGTTAGAGTGCAAAGAAGTGTAGACACTGTGGTTAGGTGTTGTCAGGCATGGCTTCGAGAAGGCCGTACGCAAAGAGCAAGGGGCACTGGACGCCGCCGTAGAACAACAGACCGTGAAGATCGCCGCCTAAGATTATTGGCCTTAAGGGACCGTTTCTCCACTACCAGGTCCATTGCAAATGAATGGTTTGCAGAACACGGAAGACCTATTGGCATGCGAAGTGTTTACCGACGAATGAGAAGTTTTGGCTTGTTTTCATACCGGCCACACTGGGTCCTCCCTTTAACTCGAGAACACCGTCGTAATCGCCTTGAGTGGTGCAGACAACGGTCACTCTGGGATCAGGAATGGAACAGTATTGTCTTCAGTAACGAGTCTCGATTTTGTTTAGGCATGCACGATGGTCGTGCCAGGGTTAGAAGGCGACGTGGTGAAAGGAGGAATCCACAGTTTTTTGTTGAAAGACATGTTCATCACACTGTTGGAGTTATGGTTTGGGGTGCTATAGCTTATGGTTCCATGTCACCTTTAATCTTCATCAGAGGTAACAAGAATGCGCAGCGTTATATCCACGAAGTTCTAGAACCCTATCTTTTACCCTATCTTGACACCCTGGCAGATCCAACTTTCCAACAAGATAATGCCCGACCACATGTTGCAAGAGTCACAATAGACTTCTTTCAACATAATGATGTCACATTGTTAGCATGGCCACCAAGATCTCCCGACTTATCCCCAATTGAGCACGTGTGGGATATGATGGGTAGGAGATTGCTCAATTTGCAACGTCCTCCTCCGACTCTAGAAGCACTTCGAGAGGAGTTGGTGGTTGCCTGGAATGAGATACCACAGGAGGACATTGACCACCTGATCAGAAGCATGCCTAGGCGCGTTGGAGAATGCGTAGAGCACATCAGGGTGTATCCACACATTATTAAAGGTCAAAGGGCTTTAAAGCAGTGCAATCATTTTGAAATTTTTATCATTTACTTATTATGCTTCATTAAGTACTTATACAAAATTTTATTAAAATAAAACCATTTAAACTGGGTGTTCGGATTTATATGACACTTAGTATATAAAATGAGTTTTTTTCAGTTACTGTCAGTATATGCTGAGGTAGCAACACAGTTTGAGCTCTTGGATCATATGTGATCAGTTTTTGTGGGAACATTGTTTCTAATTTTAACTATCAACATAACATATTCAAATATGTAAAGTTTGTTTAAAATTTGATGCTTTAACAGAAAAAAATATAATATACAGGGGTTTCCATTTAAAAAAATGTTATTTTACTGAAAAAAATCAAAATAACGACTCTCAATTGTTTTTTTTTATTTCTCATTTTTACCAGCGTTAAAAATGCTACTAGTTTGCTAATTCAAACAACTTTGTATTTTCACTAATAACAAAGTTACTAATGGTGGACACTTAATTTGGATAACCCTGTATACTGTTATTGAACCCGTAGACTTAAAAACACCTCTACACCTTATTGTCCTTTCTTGAATAACAAATAATTTTTGCTGCCTCCAAACATTCCATAATGTGAAATCGATTCAAAATTTTCACATACAATTTTTAAACATTGTGAATTCATATACCTAGACAACACTCTTATTCCATAGTTTATGCTACTGAGCTTTATTTATGAGTGGAGTCCAAGACAGAAATGTTACTAAATGTTTGCTGACTTAGTTGGATGTTATTATCAGAAAGTGGTATATCAATCTGTGATTGCTTTGTTCTAAATATTATTAAATCAGTTTTGCCCTTACTTGGTACAAGTTTATTCCTTGCAAACTATTTCCTCACTGATTCAAACACCTGCTGACCATTTTGAGGTGTTTGTGTCGCTGATGAGTGTGTTGGTATCATCAGCATAACTAATTATTGTAAAGTCATAGTTCCTAATGCTATCTTTTAGGTCATTGAGGTTTATGACGAATAATATTGGGCCTAACACGCTGCCCTGGTGTATATCTACCTTGTTACAAACGTAATCTGGCTTGATGATATTTTCTCTTTTTGAATGCTGATTGGAGCCCGAAATGTGCTGGCCGTTCTTCCAGTTCCTTATCCAGCTTCTTGATGTTTCCTTATAATTTTAATATCTCTATTTTCTAGGTGCGATAATTATTACTTGACATTTTAGGTTTTCAGTACTGTATTCAAAAAGGGGATGTTGATCATTATCTTAAGCTAAAATGTACCCCTTATAATTATGTTGGAGCGAAAGGGAATATATCAGAGGTTATATCTGAAAATCGTGTGATATGCATGGGCGAGCTTCCGAAATGTCCTTTTGAGGATCGGCATAAGTTTACAAAAAAATGGTCGAATAATATGGAGTAAGTAAATATTTGAAATATACTTCATGACATTAGAATTGTTAAAACCAGAAAAAATTATTTCTGAAACTTGTTTTTCTGGCAACGTAGCCACTACATTTAGAGCATGCTGTGGCAACACTGTCAACGTTTTATCTTTGCTTACCTTCGTTAATGTTAAACATACAAATTGCCTCGAGTTCTAAGACGCCCAAATTATCACCATGTTAGCGACTTTGACAGGGGTAGAATTATTGCTTATCGAGATGTTGGTTTTTCCTATCGCGAAATTGGATGCGGAGTTAGTTGTACTGTAATGACGGTGATGCGTGTGTGTCGTGTGTGGATAGAAGACCGATGCTAAAAAGGCACTGTCACTTTGAGCGCGATAACTCGGCGTGAAGTGGTTCGATTTCCTATTTACTTTGCGAAAGTCCTTGTATGTGGTTTTAAGAGCATGATTCAAATATATCCTTAAATGTCAACATGAATTCTTTGTAGATTGAGGATAGTTACATACAATATTCTAGCAGAAAGATATACAGCAATTGATGGAAATTATTCATATTGTGAACCTGTATACTTGTCAATGGAGTACAGGAAGCAGTTAATTCTGAAAGAATTACTAGGTAACAATTCATATCCAATTCAGTCAGATTCGATATTTAGATATTTCTTGATAGGTTATAAGGCTGATATAATATGCCTTCAAGAAGTCGACATTGTTCATTATCATAAATTCTTTGGTCCTAAGATGCGAGAAAACTCATATTATGGAGTATTTCGCAAGAAAGGAAACAGACTTACAGAAGGTTTGGCATGCTTTGTAAGGCGTAATCGATACAGGTAGGATATTCAGATTTATTCAGCTTTTTGCTACCAATAACTGCCATTTATCTTTGACCAGCCGTCTAGTGGATATGATTTTGCTCGAAATGCAGTGGCGACGCGTGACTTTTCCTAAACTGTTACCAAAACGAGATGTGAAAAATCTTATTAAAAAAAGTTTATTTTGAACCTCCCATATATAAGTTTTTGTTTATTTTATGGGGTTGTCCAAAACGGACGCAGGAAAGTAAACGCATATTAAAACAAGAACGATTGATATTCAAATCAAGTTGGGTACTTTATTTTGAAGGTTCATTTATACCATTTATGTATGAAAAATAATATCGCTCAAATGTTCACCACGACTGGATTTACAGACGTCCACGCGATGGTCGAAATTTTCAATGACATTTTCAACATGGTCGGTTCTATGGCATTTATCTCGGCAGTGATGTTGTGTTTGAGTTCTTGGAGGGTGGCTGGTTTGTTGACGTAGACTTTGCTTTTCAAATATCCCCATAAAAAGAAGTCCAAGGGAGTCAAATCGCACGATCTTGGTGGCCATGGCACATTTCCTCTGCGCGAAATCACGCGATCACCGAAGAAGGACCGTAATCGATGGATATTGACGTTGGTTGTGTGGCATGTTGCACGGTCTTGTTGGAAATAAACATCGTCCATATCCATTCCTTCAAGTTGCGGTAAAAAATAGTCCTCTATCATCACGTGATATCGCTCAGAATTGACGGTAACGGCGTCCCCGGCCGCATTTTCGAAAAAGTAAGGTCCGATGATGCCTTTTGAGCACAATGCACACCACACAGTCACTTTTTGAGGATGCATCGGCTGCTCTTGATACTCACGGGGATTTTCGTTCGCCCAGATGCGGCAGTTTTGCTTGTTTACCGTCCCATTCAAAGTGAAATGCACTTCGTCGCTGAACATGATTTTTGATGAAAAATTGGCATCAATTTGGCGGTGTTCAAGAAGCCAATCTGAGAACGTTCGGCGCGAAAAATGGTCGGCCCGACGCAGCTCTTGCGTCAATTGGATCTTGTAGGCGTGTACATTCAAATCCTTGTGGAGAATGCGGAGCAAACTGGTTCTCGAAATGCCCAATTCTTGGGATCGACGCGTTGTTGATTGTTTCGGATCGTCTCTCACACTCTCCTTCACAACAGCAATATTTTCCGGTGTGCGAACGCTCCTTGGCCGGCCAGAGCCTGGCAGATTTGCCACAGAACCTGTTGCCTCGAATTTACGCACCAGACGACCGATGGTTGTTTCGTTTGGGCGGTTGTTGCGACCGAAATGTTCAGGAAGCGCGCGAAACGTGTTTTTTATTTTTGCACAATTTTTGTAGTGCTCTTGAATAACTTTAATGCGGTCTTCAATCGAATACGACTCCATAGCGATCAATGGTAAACATTCAACTAACAGAATGACATGTCGGTGACAGAAAACAAAGATGGCGTCTATGTCAAATTGACGTTTACTTTCCTGCGTCCCTATTGGACAACCCTATAGTAATTTCTGTTACTTACGTTATATAATGAGGTACTTCTGTAAACTTTCAATATATTTCCAACTTCCATCTAGGATATCAGTAATAAAACAGCCTTAAACGACTTCAAGATTTGTCAGTTGACTGTTAGGACAATTTCCCACGATAACATAAATACATTTTCGTGTTATTTCTGACAGTTGGACAAAAACGCATCTACTGGATTACTGGCATTTGATGATGCTTATTTTTTATTATAGTAGATATTATTTCATGTCAATATTTCAGTTTGATGAGCTCTAGACATCTAGTATATAGCCAAGAAGTAAAGAAAAAGCAATACTCGCATATTTGGAAACATTTGGCAAAAAATAAGAAAGTTGCGGACGTCTTTCTTAAACAACATACTTCTTTGCAAGTGGTAGTTTTGGTATGCCCTGAACGCATTCTAATCGTTGCAAACACACATTTATACTATCATCCAGATGCTAATTCAATCAGACTGCTACAAGCCAATATTGCGACGATATATCTGGATGACTTGAAGAATTTTTATTACAGAGTAAGTATCGGGTTTTCCAATGGAGACTTGACGACTTTGAACTTTCACTGTGAACGCACCTTGTATCAATTACCGAACTGTTAATGTCTAAACGTTGAGTAAAGAAAACATTTTCATTATGCTGATATATATATATATATATATATATATATATATATAACTTGAGACGTGGTCATTGTCGTCTAGACCAGTTAGGTGAAAAATTAAAGCTTCCGCCTTTTGTTGGGTACTTCGACAAAATTTAAGCAAAGAGGACTCTTTATACTTTTTTTAATTCTCTCTAGCTTTCAATGGACTTTGCCATCATCATCAGGAGCTACAATTACAATGATAACAGTAGCAACAAAAGTGTAAAATCTCCCCAAATTTCGACTTTTCACAACCATAAATATAATCTGTGTTTTGGCCGATTCCACCAACAAATTTCATTCCACTCAAAATCTAATAATTCTCTTCTCACGATTTATTAATAATTGTTAATTTAAAATTCCCATTAATTAAAATATAGTTTATTCAACTGCCTCTGGTCGGTTTAACAATTTCTTACATAACATTCTGAAAATCACATCATCTGAAGTGATTTGGCAACGTTTTGGCACACGCCCACAATTCGTTCCATCTTTCAACACAGACATTGACAACCTTCGGCCTTCTGTCAAAGGTTCATCTCACTCATTATTCCATGACCACCATTTTGTGCAATCATCAAGTGGCTTCACGACGTAATGCTCTAATGTTTTCTAAATAATTTTTAATCTGTCTTTAACTTGTCTTGTCATATTTTATATAATTTCAACCATTGTACCATGTATCCAGCTCTCACCATGTTACTGGACGTTTCCCTCATCCTATACGAAAACAACAATTAGCAACATCCTCACATACTACTGTAAGTTGATTCAATTTAAATTCATTTTACACTTTTGTTGCTACTGTTATCATTGTAATTGCAGCTCCTGATGATGATGGCAAAGACCATTGAAAGCTAGAGAGAATTAAAAAAGTATAAAGAGTCCTCTTTGCTTAAATTTTGTCGAAGTACCCAACAAAAGGCGGAAGCTTTAATTTTTCACCTATATATATATATAAGCAAATTTACTACCCAAATTCCGAGTCGGTGACTTCAACTTTAAGAGCGTTAACGGCAATTTCAAAACTGAAAATTTTAAGTCTTCAAAACTCAAGATTTTCAAAACTTTCGAAACTTCCAAAATTTTGAAAGTTTTCAATATTTTAAAAATTGTCATTAGGTATTTACAAAATTTTCAAAATGTACTCTGTCAACAAAAGATTTGTCTATTGATTAACTGTAATTCAAATTTTCAGCAATGCAAAACGGATGTACATGTTATTTTCTGCGGAGATTTTAATAGTGATCACAGTAAGTCGTTATACCCGTTCATGATACAAGGAAGAATCCACCCAAAACACAAAGATTGCTTGCAAGGTACGTGTTGACGAAACTCTAATATTTTGCATGATACTTCATTACATATTATCTGTAGACAGACTAGTTTAAGATAGAGAGGGAAGCCCCATTTTGTTGTAGTTTTTTATACTGATTCATACTTCCATACCTATTTGAATAAATAAAGCTATTAAATGTACAAAAACGCACTACTATGTCAGCCTGTCAGTTTGCCATTTTGGCAGATTTGTTTATTATTATTTATTCTGGTTTAGAAAGAACTCATCAGAAGTTTCAAAATTATATTTTAACTGACCCTCCATTTCGATCAAAAGGATCTGTCAAGGTGGCGCCTAACCGCCGGATTGAAATTTTCACCAGCCACATTTACGCTGAAATATAGTATTGCTAACTTGACCCATTCAAAATGGCAGTTGGGGAATTTTTTGAAAAGCGTAAAAGTATAATCTACTACGAAAATATCAAGATATAAACAGTTAAGAACACCTATAATAATTTTTTATCAGCTATTTTGCAGTTTCGATTTGTTGCCTTCTTTGTTTCAATTTTCATCGTATTATTCGCACTCAAATAATGATTTTCTTATCTTAAGCTTTATTCTAAAATTATCCCTTCACAAGAAACTTCATATATTTCAGTTGACGAACATGGAAATCTATTATTGAATCATAAGTTTCACTTCACTAGTGCCTGTGGAACCCCGTTATATACAAACTATACACCCGACTACAAAGGCTGTTTGGACTATATTTTTGTTGAAGACAATACAATGGAGGTTAAACAGGTAGGTTTTAAAAAAATAATTTGCTCTAGAAATACTGCAATTACTCTTTGAATACTTATAGAACATTTTTTAATCATAGTAAAATTTTGTACCGCTAATGGTAAGTATTGTGCTGCCTTAACGTTTACTTATTGTTTAGGTGATCCCGTTGCCTGACGAGACAGAATTGAGTCAATACAACGGCCTTCCCAATAAGTATTATCCATCCGATCACGTGGCGTTGGTAGCAGATCTATTGATTAACAACAGAAACTCATGGTGAGCTGCTGATTATTTGTCATGCTTAGTTCTTTTTATAGTTTTAAATGTTGATAAATTTACTAATTCTTTACCAGACGATTTGATATTATTGACAAATGTACAATAAACAATAATTAATATATATGTGTACATTTTTTACACCGAAGCAGTCCCGCAGGCAGAACTGGGAAACGCTTCCTCTAGATTGTTCCACAATCTCGACACCCTCCGCAAAAAGTTTGGATGTTGTTAAGTCGGTCCTCTGAACATCCAGTTTCACAATTAGCAGTTATCTCTATCTGGCAGTTAACTGCCATATGCGATACATGTACTTAATTGCTGGATAAGAGTTAAGTGCTATGCGATCATTACAATAAGAGTTAATTGGAGGTTGTAAAGTCAAACATCCACAATTCCGGTTTTACGATTATCAGTTATCTCATCTGGCAGTTGACTGCCATATGCGATACATGTACTTAACTGCTGGATAAGAGTTAAGTGCTATGCGATCATTACAATAAGAGTTAATTGGAGGTTGTAAAGTCAAACCTCCACAATTCCGGTTTTACGATTATCAGTTATCTCTATCTGGCAGTTAACTGCCATATGCGATACATGTACTTAACTGATGGATAAGAGTCAAGTGCTATGCGATCATTACAATAAGAGTTAATTGGAGGTTGTAAAGTCAAGCCTCCACAATTCCGGTTTTACGATTATCAGTTATCTCATCCGGCAGTTAACTGCCATATGCGATACATGCACTTAACTGCTGGATAAGAGTTAAGTGCTATGCGATCATTACAATAAGAGTTAACTGGAGGTTGTAAAGTCAAACCACCACAATTCCGGTTTTACGATTATCAGTTATCTCTATCTGGCAGTTAACTGCCATATGCGATACATGTACTTAACTGCTGGATAAGAGTTAAGTGCTATGCGATCATTACAATAAGAGTTAATTGGAGGTTGTAAAGTCAAGCCTCCACAATTCCGGTTTTACGATTATCAGTTATCTCATCCGGCAGTTAACTGCCATATGCGATACATGCACTTAACTGCTGGATAAGAGTTAAGTGCTGTGCGATCATTACAATAAGAGTTAACTGGAGGTTGTAAAGTCAAACCTCCACAATTCCGGTTTTACGATTATCAGTTATCTCATCTGGCAGTTAACTGCCATATGCGATACATGTACTTAACTGCTGGATAAGAGTTAAGTGCTATGCGATCATTACAATAAGAGTTAACTGGAGGTTGTAAAGTCAAACCTCCACAATTCCGCTTTTACGATTATCAGTTATCTCTATCTGGCAGTTAACTGCCATATGTGATACATGTACTTAACTGCTGGATAAGAGTTAAGTGCTGTGCGATCATTACAATAAGAGTTAACTGGAGGTTGTAAAGTCAAACCTCCACAATTCCGGTTTTACGATTATCAGTTATCTCTATCTGGCAGTTAACTGCCATATGCGATACATGTACTTAACTGCTGGATAAGAGTTAAGTGCTATGCGATCATTACAATAAGAGTTAATTGGAGTTTGTAAAGTCAAACCACCACAATTCCGGTTTTACGATTATCAGTTATCTCTATCTGGCAGTTAACTGCCATATGCGATACATGTACTTAACTGCTGGATAAGAGTTAAGTGCTGTGCGATCATTACAATAAGAGTTAACTGGAGGTTGTAAAGTCAAACCTCCACAATTCCGGTTTTACGATTATCAGTTATCTCTATCTGGCAGTTAACTGCCATATGCGATACATGTACTTAACTGCTGGATAAGAGTTAAGTGCTATGCGATCATTACAATAAGAGTTAACTGGAGGTTGTAAAGTCAAACCTCCACAATTCCGGTTTTACGATTATCAGTTATCTCTATCTGGCAGTTAACTGCCATATGCGATACATGTACTTAACTGCTGGATAAGAGTTAAGTGCTATGCGATCATTACAATAAGAGTTAATTGGAGTTTGTAAAGTCAAACCTCCACAATTCCGGTTTTACGATTATCAGTTATCTGATCTGACAGTTGACTGCCATATGCGATACAAGTACTTAACTGCTGGATAAGAGTTAAGTGCTATGCGATCATTACAATAAGAGTTAACTGGAGTTTGTAAAGTCAAACCTCCACAATTCCGGTTTTACGATTATCAGTTATCTCATCTGGCAGTTAACTGCCATATGCGATACATGTACTCAACTGCTGGATAAGAGTTAAGTGCTATGCGATCATTACAATAAGAGTTAATTGGAGGTTGTAAAGTCAAACCTCCACAATTCCGGTTTTACGATTATCAGTTATCTCATCTGGCAGTTAACTGCCATATGCGATACATGTACTTAACTGCTGGATAAGAGTTAAGTGCTATGCGATCATTACAATAGAAGTTAATTGGAGGTTGTAAAGTCAAACCTCCACAATTCCGGTTTTACGATTATCAGTTATCTCATCTGGCAGTTAACTGCCATATGCGATACATGTATTTAACTGCTGGATAAGAGTTAAGCGCTATGCGATCATTACAATAAGAGTTAATTGGAGGTTGTAAAGTCAAACCTCCACAATTCCGGTTTTACGATTATCAGTTATCTCATCTGGCAGCTAACTGCCATATGCGATACATGCACTTAACTGATGGATAAGAGTTAAGTGCTGTGCGATCATTAGAATAAGAGTTAACTGGAGGTTGTAAAGTCAAACCTCCACAATTCCGGTTTTACGATTATCAGTTATCTCATCTGGCAGTTAACTGCCATATGCGATACATGCACTTAACTGATGGATAAGAGTTAAGTGCTATGCGATCATTACAATAAGAGTTAATTGGAGGTTGTAAAGTCAAACCTCCACAATTCCGGTTTTACGATTATCAGTTATCTCATCTGGCAGTTAACTGCCATATGCGATACATGTACTTAACTGCTGGATAAGAGTTAAGTGCTGTGCGATCATTAGAATAAGAGTTAACTGGAGGTTGTAAAGTCAAACCTCCACAATTCCGGTTTTACGATTATCAGTTATCTCATCTGGCAGTTAACTCCCATATGCGATACATGCACTTAACTGATGGATAAGAGTTAAGTGCTATGCGATCATTACAATAAGAGTTAATTGGAGGTTGTAAAGTCAAGCCTCCACAATTCCGGTTTTACGATTATCAGTTATCTCATCTGGCAGTTCACTGCCATATGCGATAGATGCACTTAACTGCTGGATAAGAGCCAATTGCCATGCGATATTTTCAGTAAGAGTTAATTGGACGTTGTAAATTCAAACCTCCAAAATTCCGGTTTAGGGAAACGGCAGTGCTTAGGTGCATTGTGAGGATTTGTGTGTTATTAATCTGTGTTGATAATTGCATTAGTTTCTTGTCTCAAAAACACTTACCTGAGATTTACTGAAAACTAGAACCTCCAGAAAGAACAACATATAAGTAACCCGTCGGGCACAGCTAATAGATATACTTCATATGCAGCAGATTCAGTAATAATTTTCTTAACTTTCTTTTTTCCACATCTTCTCAGAGATAAACACTACAGACTACTCGGCTTTCTGCAACCAACAATGCATGTCGTGTCATCGAGTCATTCTTCCATTGATGGCGCTCACAGCGATCATAGCGAGCAAACGTGGAATGAACTATTTGCATAATAAAACCTACTAAGTCTGCAAGATGACATTCTGTCGTTTTGTTTCTAAAGTTCCCATAATTTCCAGGTAACTTTTATGCGGCACTTAACTTGACGAATCGTATATGCCACCCTAATAGAGATAAAGAACTAACTGCAGGATTCCATTCAGTTGACGCCAGATGAAAGTTAATGTCTAGTTCTAATTAACAGCAATGTTATAGTTAGCCTGTGATTGAAAAACGACTTATTTACCATGTATTTATTATTACATAAAGTTGATAGCACCATACATATCCATTTATACATTTTTTAATTAAAAAAGCTATATTTGAAATACTTTTGGATGTCAGAATCCTTCGATTAAAATCTGTCAATATTCAAACTAAATATTGTCTATTACCTATTACAGTGCTGCGAAATCATTTTCTGTACACAGATGTTCAATAGTACCTTCAATGAATAAAACAAATATAGATGTGGTATAAAATCTCTATTACAATTCCGCGCCAGTCGTTTTAATTCTGGAGTTCAGAAATTGATTTCCAAGTTATATGGATCACACTGAAGACGATATTCTCATTCTTCAAAACGCTAACCTTTTGAAGACAGACTGGTTAGTACCCATATAAGCCTCAAATACAGGGAGTTTTGAAAGTTGCGACTTTTCAGACACAACTAAGCGAAAAAAAAACATTTTTGGTAAAAGTACCGTTGCCATCATTCGATTCCAAAAACACAAGTTTGTGCTTTACGTTTGCAACGTTCTGCGATATCTAGGACTTTCATTGATGTCATATCCGTGTTCTTGCAAACAGCGTCCACAGCTTTATGAGATGAAAATACACACTGCAGTATGGTAACAATCCAAAAAACGATCTGGATACACTCTCGAAGCCCCAATAGCATATTCAAAACACTCACTGTAACTACTGTAATTATCATCATATATTGCTTATAGGAGTGTCGAATAACTCTGTTGTTTTGAGTCTTTGGAATATACAGGATGTCCGAAATGTAGACGTAGATATTTTAGAGGGTGATTCCTTGTCAAAAAATATTAAAAAAAGTTATGGCTAAATTAGAATCTTAATACAACAAATAATATGTATTGTCAAATTTCAACATAATAATAGTAAATATTTTTTAAGGTATTAATAAAAAAATGTAGCACCCTGTATATTGAAAACGGCATTTCCGGATCCATGTCTATAGAAACTTTTTTTCATGTTTTTTTTTTAACAAGGACTCACCCTCTAAAATATCTTCCATTATTTTTCGAACACCCTGTATTGTATGGGTAAATTTGTTTTCATCGTGAAAAGGAAAGTACCAACTTTGAGAATACCCTGTATAGACTGGGTGATATCGGTACATAACCAGAGGTTACTATTTTCTTCAAATATACAAAACATTTCGATATGTCCAATATCGTTTATTCTTTGCTGTAAAGATATATTGGGTCTACAAATATGGAATTAGTGCAGATATGCGTGGATGACTTTTGTCACCCTGTCTGTTCTCGGGTGAGTAGTGAAAACTATGAAGGAGACTTTCCAACTACCTGTTTGCAACGGTATTTTAAACGCTTTTCATCTGATTACTTCATGATGTGTATAGAGATGACTAAAACCATCGTTTTTAATTTTGTTTTGTAATAAAATGCATTTTTTGTGGATTTTTTCTTCGATCGTAACTTCCTAACGAATGATGAATGAAACAAGCGATTACTTTTATTCTTGTCACTTTTTCTTTTCGAAAAATCTTTGATTTTTCTTGAAATTTCAACTTGCTGCGAGACGAGGCTTCAAGAAAATAAAAGATTTTTCGAAAAGGAAAAGCGATAAGAACACAAGTAATCACTTGTTTCATTCTTCTATAAAAGAGGAATATTCGCACACAATTTCGGAGCTGTATTTATTTTTGTTAACAAGTTCCGATTGAAGAAAAAATTCAAAAAAATGCAATTTCTATCAAAAATAAAAAAATGTTTTTTTAGTCATCTCTATATACACACCATGAAATTATCAGACGAAAAAGATTTAGAATACTGCTGGAAATAGGTAGTTAACTTATATTTATTATGTCCAATGGCGTCTCTAGCGGGATCTGAACGAATATTTGTGACAAAAAAATGTATGCCACTGACTTTTTTGCAATTTTTTATGTTGCTTGGATTAAATAAATAGCAATACAACTTTTTTGTCTCTTGAACTTTTTTCGAATCTTCCTTAGTTTTAGAGAAAGTAGTCCATTTAATTGCATATCCCTGGACCACACAAGGAATATGGGGAGTAGTTTCTTCCAGAAATTATTTTTTTATAATTTTAAATAAATTTAAAAAAATTATTTCCAAAAGAATCATCCCCATATTCTTTGTGGTGTCCAGCGATATGCAATAAAGTGGGCCCTTTTTTCTCGAAAACTAAATCAAGACACGAAAAAAATTCAAGAGACAAAAAAGCTGTATTTCTATTTACTTAATCCAAAGAAAAATTGCACGCAAGTCAGTGGCGTACATTTCTTTGTCAAAAATACTCGTTCAGATCCCGCTAGAGACGTCACTGGACTTAATAAATTTGATCAAGTTAGTCCTAAATTAGCTAATTGATTTTATAAATACCACCGCCAAATTACAACAACATTAGATTTAGGACATTTTAGATATTTACGAAAAACATTTTTTTTAAAATTCTGATACGAAGACATTGCGGACCAATGTTTATAAGTACTGTTTGTTAAATTTATGTTACATACTTAATTAGCGTATAGTGGCGAAGGTTGTTGCTATGGGAAAAATCGCTGACGCCTAAAAATAATGTAACAAGTACTTTGAGGCCCGCATTCATGATAACTCCAATTGCTTTTCAGTGTAAATAGAAGGGAAAAACAAAGCAATGACTGTGACAAAAGTCACTCCTGCGCGTCCGTCCATAAAAACTCTAGATTCATAACCTGGATGGGGGAATGGAAATAACTTTATATCATATTGAATGTTGCTGATTGACAAGTCCCTCTCATTGTAAGTTTAAAGTTACGGTACATTGTGAATCTTAAGAGGAAAAAATTATGGGTAAACCGTATCAGTTTTGTACTACTTTTGCCACCCAGTCGCCAAATTAAAAAGTGGATAAAGGTGTCATGTAACATTTTTTTAAAAATCGCTTAAGGAGTGATTCTTTCATTCTGTAATTACTTTGTTGCAAGAATCTGATAATAACAAACTAATTAAACTAAATATTTAAAATTTCAATAAAGTAAAAAGTAACAATGAAAATGTTTCCCATACAAGACACCATTATTTACTTGTGACTTATTTTCCCCTCTCAAGGTCAAATCATACCCCTAAACAGTATGTACTGCAAAATAGTTGTAACAAGAAATTTCATAAGGTAAATATGTCATGTCCTACTCATATTTTCTAGATTTATATAGATCTATAAAAATTACAACCTACAGAAGGATAAAATTTATACAATCAACTTCAGGAAACCGCAGTGCTCAGCGAAGAAAATACTTTAAAGTAACTACTTTGAAGTATTTTTTTAGCCTGACTTACACCCAGTAAATATACGCTTCAATTACATCTGCTCGGCAATATACGCCGCGTTGGCCAAACGCTGGTCAGAAAAACGTGTGGCGCGCAACATCCCAGCGAACATAATGAGGTCATATGTCAGCATTTTTAGAGCAATACTGACGTATGCCGAACATCAAAAATGACGTAGAAATGACGTCATGCTGACTATCTAATGTCACAACAACGAACAACGAATGAACGTCATTATATGACGTCATAGTATGTCGTGTAAAACACCAACTACAAAATCGATATGACGTCTGTATGACGTGCATCTGTGTCGTCGTCGATATGTAGTACAGTCGCTCGCAAAAATAATCGCGCGGTGTATCCAATTGCTCCTGAAAAATTGAGGATGTGGCAACGACGCCCCACAAGCAGAGACTTCAGCAGTGGTAGAAACTCATATTCTCACTTGCCCAATTTTTTAGGAGCATTTGTACAGAGTGTATCGAAATGTTTGATGAAGAACTAAAAAACAACGTTTGATCTCAAACTCAAATAGTCCAGTAAAACGTGTTTGTTGCTAAGTTTCTAATAAATTTGTTAATTACGGGAATGAAACATGATTTAAAATGGCAATTTAAAAAAACTGGACACGAAATATTATTATTAGAATAGTCAAATTAATAAGATATTTTTGGTAAAGAATTCCTTTTACATTTTTATGAATAACAATTTATTTTCTTTGTGGATGTTGATTTTTTAGTACTGAATGTCCTAAAAAAGACGTCAAAATGACGACATGTCATAAAAATTGCCTTAATAAAGACGTCATTTTTTAGTCAATGACGTTTCCGACCAAGATTGACCGAATAATGACGTTATTTTGGGATCTACTATATTATAAAGATGCAAAACAAGCGCAGTGTTCCATAATTCGCAGCGGTTTCAAAACAGCATTATGACATGTCATATCGTCTCGACAGCAGACGAACATATTGACGTCATAATGTCGGCTGACGTACGCCGACCAACAAAAATGACGTCATTACGACGGTCTGGATTCACACCTAATTGACGTCATTATATGACGTCATAGTATGACGTATAAAAGACCAAATGTACACATGAGGTTTCTAATAAATTTGTTATTTACGGGAAGAGAACATGATGTAAGATGGCAATTTGGGAGTGGTAGAAACTCATATTCTCACTTCCCCAATTTTTTAGGAGCATTTGTACAGAGTGTATCGAAATGTTTAATGAAGAACTAAAAAACAACGTTTGATCTCAAACTCAAATAGTCCAGTAAAACGTGTTTGTTGCTAAGTTTCTAATAAATTTGTTAATTACGGGAATAAAACATGATTTAAAATGGCAATTTGAAATATCTGGACATGAATTATTATTATTAGAATACTCATATTAACAAGATATTTTTGGTAAAGAATTCCTTTTACATTTTTATGAATAACAATGAAGCATATTTTATCTTATTGTTAATTACAAGTCTGTATTTTCTTTGTGGGTGTTGATTTTTTAGAACTGAATGTCCTAAAAAAGACGACAAAATGACGTGTTGTCATAAAAATTGCCTCAATAAAGACGTCATTTTTTAGACAATGACTTTTCCGACCAAGATTGACCGAATAATGACGTAATTTTGGGATCTACTGTATTATAAAGATGCAAAACAAGCGCAGTGTTCCATAATTCGCAGCGGTTTCAAAACAGCATTATGACATGTCATATGGTCATATCGTCTCGACAGCAGACGAACATATTGACGTCATAATGTCGGCTGACGTACGCCGACCTACAAAAATGACGTCATTATGACGGTCCTGATTCACACCTAATTGACGTCATAATATGACGTCATAGTATGACGTATAAAAGACCAAATGTACATATGGGGTTTCTAATATATTTGTTATTTACGGGAAGAGAACATGATGTAAGATGGCAATTTGAAATATCTAATATTATGAGAAAAGTCATATTAACAAGATATTTTTGGTAAAGAATTCCTTTTACATTTTTATGAATAACAATTTATTTTCTTTGTGGGTGTTGATTTTTTAGTACTGAATGTCCTAAAAAAGACGTCAAAATGACGAGTTGTCATAAAAATTGCCTTAATAAAGACGTCATTTTTTAGTCAATGACGTTTCCGACCAAGATTGACCGAATAATGACGTTATTTTGGGATCCACTGTATTATAAAGATGCAAAACAAGCGCAGTGTTCCATAATTCGCAGCGGTTTCAAAACAGCATTATGACATGTCATATGTCATATCGTCTCGACAGCAGACGAACATATTGACGTCATAATGTCGGCTGACGTACGCCGACCTACAAAAATGACGTCATTATGACGGTCTGGATTCACACCTAATTGACGTCATTATATGACGTCATAGTATGACGTATAAAAGACCAAATGTACACATGAGGTTTCTAATAAATTTGTTATTTACGGGAAGAGAACATGATGTAAGATGGCAATTTGGGAGTGGTAGAAACTCATATTCTCACTTCCCCAATTTTTTAGGAGCATTTGTACAGAGTGTATCGAAATGTTTAATGAAGAACTAAAAAACAACGTTTGATCTCAAACTCAAATAGTCCAGTAAAACGTGTTTGTTGCTAAGTTTCTAATAAATTTGTTAATTACGGGAATAAAACATGATTTAAAATGGCAATTTGAAATATCTGGACATGAATTATTATTATTAGAATACTCATATTAACAAGATATTTTTGGTAAAGAATTCCTTTTACATTTTTATGAATAACAATGAAGCATATTTTATCTTATTGTTAATTACAAGTCTGTATTTTCTTTGTGGGTGTTGATTTTTTAGAACTGAATGTCCTAAAAAAGACGTCAAAATGACGTGTTGTCATAAAAATTGCCTCAATAAAGACGTCATTTTTTAGACAATGACTTTTCCGACCAAGATTGACCGAATAATGACGTAATTTTGGGATCTACTGTATTATAAAGATGCAAAACAAGCGCAGTGTTCCATAATTCGCAGCGGTTTCAAAACAGCATTATGACATGTCATATGTCATATCGTCTCGACAGCAGACGAACATATTGACGTCATAATGTCGGCTGACGTACGCCGACCTACAAAAATGACGTCATTATGACGGTCTGGATTCACACCTAATTGACGTCATTATATGACGTCATAGTATGACGTATAAAAGACACATGAGGTTTCTAATGAATTTGTTATTTACGGGAAGAGAACATGATGTAAGATGGCAATTTAAAATATCTAATATTATTAGAAAGGTCATATTAACAAGATATTTTTGGTCGAAGAATTCCCGATACTTTTCATAAATAACAATAAAGTAGTTATTAGTATTTGGATATCTAGTTTACTTTACTGGTCGTTAAAAGTCTATATTTTCTTTGTAGGTAAGTATTGAATTTTCAGTATTGACTGCCCTAAAACAGACGTCAAAATGTCAGCGTTTTATAGGACGTCTTGTCGTCATAAAAATGGCGTCAATAAAGACGTCATTTTTTGGTCAATGACGTTTCCGACCAAAAGTGACAGAATAATGACGTCATTTCGGCGTCATCATGTTCACTGGGCTAAGAATCCAACTTTCCAAACGGATTTTTATGTATGTAAGCACTTGAAGCTCTCGTTACCCTACCAAAATCCATCCAAACTGAAACTTTCGCTTTCTCCGTACACGCAATTTCAAAATGAACTTAAACTATTGTAAAAATGGAAGAGAAGAAGAAAGAGCTCATATCGATCCGGCTCTCATTACACTGTACACAAGCAACTCCATCTTCTTATCTATCGCGTTAGACGCGAAAAGCTTGAAGCTTGATAGGGGGATTGAATCCTATAAATAACAACAACTCTATGAAAATTTCGTTAAAATATTTCTTAATCACATCAACTTTTATTCTTAATCCTATCCTATCTCAAAAAATGCTAGTACAGGCAGTGGAATTTTGTTGATGAAGTAGCTAGCCTTTAAGTTTGTGGGCTTTGAAAGATCGCAAGAAAATTATCGGTGTCTCGATCTAATCACATATTTGATATATTTTCCTTAGAATCGAGACAGACATGATGGTATTTTCATCCTTCAAAGCGCATAAAATTTTCAAGTCGCGTAGACGCGACGCTATTGTCATCGCTTTGAAAGTATTTGTGCAATAATCGCTTGACGACTTGAAAACTCTATTTGCTATGAAAAACGAGAATACCGTTTAGGTGCAAATGTTAGGTCATAATTACAGTCAAATTACAATCTCTTCCGTCACATTACGATTCTTACAAAGTGTATAATGCGTATCAATTTTATTTTTATTTCATTATATCTCAAATATCGGCAACAGTTACCAAACTGTTCGGAATCTGTATACCTGCCTGTTATTGCGCAGATAGATAGCTAGATATGATCATTATACTTCCATCGCATCTTGTCTAGGAGGTATAATCCATATAGGAACCTACGAGCCTGCAACCCACAAAGCATGATAGCGGAATGCGAGTTGCAGTTCTTAGGAAAATAATTAACGGTCGTTGCATCATACCTGCATAGGTATGTGGACTATCCTAACAGGTTTGTCTGGAAAATACGTATAAAAGTAGAATAATAACTTTATTTTACATTTGTTAAGATGTTTCTCCTTCAAAGTACTCCCTCTGAGACAAGATGCACTTCTGCCAACGCTGTTTCCGCTGTTGATACCATCGCGTATTTTCCGGACTAACCTCGTGGATCTGTCTGTGAACAATAGTGTTTCTTCACAATCGACCTATTCATTAGTTATTGTTTCGACTCTTTCAAATAGAAAATAGCTACTTCATCCAAATCCATACGATCTACTACCTATACCACATCTCCAGCGTGTTATCAACACTTTGTACATCTGTTTGCATCCCTGGACCATCTTACTAACTATCTACATGGTACACTTACGTATGCAAAATGTCTACTATATAATAGTCTCACTGTAACAATATTTATGTTGGAAATGTTAAGTAATAAGTGAAAGCTATTTGGTCGTGGACGATAACCTTGTGGTGTTGACGCATGACACGTTCACATGTCACGTTGAGCCGTTCAGGTCCAGGTGGGTGGGGGGTTGCGCCTGACGGCTTCCGGCGTACGTCATATGGCCGTGTCGAAGACTGCCATCGACCGGGTGATAACTTCATCGGAGGTGCAACACTCTAGGAATTCGTCTAGGGTTACTACGCCGTCTTTATTTTTGTCCATCTTCTGTGGCAAACGAAACAGGCTGGTTAAATAATACAGTCAGGTTGTCTACGTAACCTTTTTTTTACTATCTTGATCACTTACTAGTAATTTGAATCTTTATTAATGGGAGAGTGCCCATTCCTAGACCAAACCCTTTTCAATGATTTTCTTTTGGTAAATTTCATAGTTTATTATTTGTATAATTTCACACGCATTATGTCTTTTAAAAAACTCTGTGGTTTTTCTCCGTTACTTGGTTTCCTGTTAAACGTAGCTTCTTCAAGGCCACTCATTGACCCTTCATTTATTAAGTTAGGTGTTTCGTCTCAGTCACTTTCCTCCTGAGATTGTGGCGTGAGGGCCATTTGTTCAACCTCCAGATTCTGGGATATTAGATGCCGAACACCAGTTTGTCACATAGCACCTTACGTTTAGTTGTTTTGGTTTGGGTGCTACCCCGTCCATTTTCTTACGGAATTTTAGTCTGCAGCGGTAAGTCTGTTTTTTCTTATACCATCGGACCAACTGCATTAATGCATGTCCTGAAGAAGTTTGTTCAATAACCTTTTAGTGGGAGACATTACGGAGAACCACCATACACTCATCTAGCTTTGCTTATAGCTGTTGTGCAGCTGGTATTGCCGGAAGCCATCCATTTCCCCTTAGCAAAAACCCTGATGTGAACAGGGACAACTAAACGTATGAAGGGGTACTAGTTCACTAACTGGTGTTCAGCACCTTATATCCCATAATCTGGAGAGTAAGCAAATGGCGCTCACACTGCAATCTCAGGAGGAAAGTGACTGACACGAAACACCTAACTTTATAAAGGAAGGTTCAATTAGTGGCCTTGAAAAAGATACGTTCAACAGGAAACCAAGTAACGGAGAAAAACCACAAAGTTTTTTCCAACACAATACTGAGGAAGAAAGATATAGCACGTGTGAAATTATACAATCAATAAACTATGAAATTTACCAAAAGAAAATCATTGAAAAGGGTTTGGCCTAGGAATGGGCACTATACCGTTAATAAAGAGAAATTAAAATTACCAGTAAATGATCAAAATAGTAAAAAAAGTACGTGAATTTGGCACGTGACAAGGTACCTACAAAAATGGAATGGAGCTCGGAAAAATATGATTTCATTCTTGCAGCAAGAAGCCCTTTTAACGAATCTACATGTCGCCAGGCCCAAAAACCGTACAGCACAAAGTTTTTCAGAAATATTTCAGAAATCTTATCGTTCTCCTGATGATGAAGGCATAGTTCCTCGAAAGCTTGAGATAATAAAGTAAAAAGAGTCCTCATTGCTTTAATCTTGGCGAAGTATCCAACTAAAAGCTGAAACTTTTTCTCAGCTGACTGGTTCTTTCGACGACAGTGACCACGGTTTAAGTTTATATATATATACAGGGTTGAGTCATTAATTTTCAGATAATGATTGTAGAAGGAAGATAAACAAAAATATGTGTGTAAAAATAAAAAAAAATAAAAAAAATTTTTTACCTTGTTTTATAAAGTATCCTCCCGACAAGTATTTCAGTGCGGACCTGTATTTGATCGTGAGGTCTTGGAGCACCGGCATGCCGTCCATATGTGAGGTCTTAAGTCACCTGATTGACGAACCCGTTGTGCTACATTAACAAAGGCACGAGGGGTTGGTTGCACTCGATTGGGAAACCGATCCGCATAAACATGTGCCATTTTTTATTTCGTTTGAGCCACGCAACAGTTACACCACTATTCACTACCGACTGACACTGACTGTATACGTATACAACTGAATGAAATAATTGTAAAAACATCGTTCCAAATTCTTTCGCTTTTTTGTTTCCGATGCGATGAACCGATAAGGCGGATTATATCCGTTGTCGCCAAACACGAGCACCTAATATTATTATGGAGACAGGGCGGTACTCAAACTTCCAAAGGGCTATAACTTTGTTACTTTAATTTTACCAGAAAAATGGTAAAGGAAAAAACATTTCTTTTGATCAGATCTACTCACTGTTAAAATAAATGACTCAACTTCGAAGTCACCCTGTATATATATCTTTGTTTCCTCAGGTTACACCCTTATCCGAATGTATGAGCATGTGTATCTACTTTTGTAGTTGCATATGTGCATTCATTTTGGGCCCGATGAAGCCAACCAGCAGAAATACGTATCGCTCGGGTTACCTATCCTATTTTCTGCTCGGATCCACTTTCCTTTTTTTTGTGGATTTTGCCCATTATTTTCCCATTTTTTGTTATATACATTTCTCCGCAGGATCATTTTCTCTTATATATATAATGCGAGCAGTAAAAATACAATTAATTGTTAATTGGGAAATTGGCAAACTTTTTAGGCCTCAGTAAACTCTTTTAACGGTAACCTCGAGCTTTCTGCATTCTCTATGGAGCCATCCTCAGGAGCTGAAATCACAATTATGATGCTAGCAACCAATACGGGAAGGATTTCAATTGTCAGATAACTTATTCGTCGTTGAGCCAAATGGTGTTTCAAAACGAACGCGTGGATGAGAGCACTTGTTACAAATATAAAACCAAACGGAAATACACATTGGGCTTATTGATAACGATGGAAATCATCGTCAGGCGTTAACACTATATATCAATACACCCGAACACATTAAAAATTAACGAAAATCAATTTTGGGGACAAAAACCGGCAAAGTACCTTCTAACCTCCTACATATGTTTCACGTGGAGAAAATGAGCGGACCGGAAGGATGACGCGTCGACAGATGCCAGGTGATTGTGGAAATGTAAACATCATTGCCAAAATTCAGCATTCAGTTCGATACAAGAGCAAAGTGTCCTCTCCTAACTTTCGATAACTTTTGTCATCATCATCAGGAGCTACAAAACAATTGAAAAATAGCAACTACATGTGAATAATTGATTTTTGATACACATAGCTATGTGTCGGAGAAACATCACGACGGATTAAGACTTAAAGATTGATTGACATTTTTTTTTGATTTTACATCGTAGAACAATTTTGCTTTTTAACAAAATGGCGCACGGGACAAAACCATCGGAAGCGAAAAGAAACATAATGGTTTCCATTGGTTGGCAGGTGATAGATCAGTGCCTGGTGTTATAGATTGATGCCAACCAAAATGAAAAGGTGTCATTTTTCAAATCCATATCAACGAAAGATTCACGCTGCCAAAAAAACCAAGAGCAGTAGAAAAAACTTTATATAATTAGTGACATTAAAAGTGTTACACCCAGACTATCTACTTTGCACCATCCGCCACAACCAGACATCGATCATCTCATTTTGTCGATGCCTAGTCGTATACAGGAGTGTATTCAGCTTCGGGGTTGCCCAACACATTACTAGTTTTTCTTCTAGTTGTCAATAACATTTCGTGAGAATGTAAATGGTTTCATTCTTGTTGTCCTCATTGCCAAAAAATCAAGTTAAAGAAATTATTTTTTCTAGGTGTAACACTCCTAATGTCACTGAGTATATTTTTATTATTTTTCTAAGTCAATAACAAAATGATGTACTACCGAGTAACTTCGGTAACGTAATTGAGTGACTGATCTAGAGTACAGCAACAATATACTTACTTGAAATATCCTATCCACTCGCTCTGTCACGGTGCACTCTTCTATACAGGGTTCAACCATCTTTCCCATAAGGTCATAGATGGCCGTGACTATATCCGTCATCTCTTCGCGCGTGATGTAACCATCACCGTTGATGTCGTAGAGCGAAAAAGCCCACTGAAGTTTCTCTTCTAGCGAGCCTCTCGATAGTATAGACAGATTTTGGACAAAATCCTGGAAATTTAGCGATTGAGACGGCGAATTTACGAAAAACTGAGAGAAATACAGTATATTCAGATAAGAGATAGACCGGACATAAACAAGACCACGTGATCATCGAACGCTGTAACATTCGGCAGGGACGTATTAAGAGTCACGCAGTACATATTTTAGATAGTAGATGCTGCTTTGCGTAACTTTGTAGTAAATTAGCACAATTCGATGTGTATACGATTGGCGATGGATATAGGATCATGTGGGGGTGGGGTAAGAAATATATAATGATGTAAATATACATAAGGGTTTCAAAATTTTCGCTTCGATTTCCAGCTTCGGATGCCGCCTGATGTTTGGTGAAATACAGTCGAATATAATCTCAAAATGGCGTTTAAATTAGCCTAAAGTAAAAATAATCGTATATCTCTTAAAATTGCTTTTAGAATATTGATTAGTATATTTTTTGATTTCTAGGTAAATATGTAACCAAATTAAAACGTTCAAAACGTAAAAAAATGTGCATGGTTGAACATTGTCAGAAAGTAGATTCTTGAATAGGTTTTGCCAAAATGGGTTCAAAAATGTCAATAATTAATTAAAAAATACAGTAGCTTTATAATTACTTATAACTTACCGAATTTGATGAACGACATCTTTTATTGGAAAGATGAGCTTTCATCATCGCTACTGCCTGAAGCACCAACGTCAATAATGAATGGCTCGACTTGTTCCTCTAAAATATTGTCCAGTTCCCACATTCTCTTTTCAACTTTGTCTTTCACGTGCTTAATACAGTTTACCCATTTTTGCGCTGTTATTAATTCTAGTGCTTCTTTGAAAAGTCCTTTGAGGTCACAAAATTTAAAAGTTGTATTGTGCTTAGCTATATAATTTTTAACCTCTGCCCATATGAGCTCAATGGGATTGAGCTCGCGATGGTATGGAGGTAAACGGAGCACAGTTTTATTTTGACTTGCTGCCATTTCGTCAATGACGTATTTTTGATATTCCGCCTTGTGATCCTTGACAATTCTTAATAATTGTACTTTCAGCATTGCTTCTTCAAAGTTGATATTTTTCGAGCGGAGCCAATTTTGAACATCAACTTTCCTTGAAGCCGTTGTTGGGACCTTCTCCATTCTTCAAAAATGATAAGGCGCATTATCCAACACAATTACTGCGTTTTCCTCTAAGTTCGGTAACATTTTTGAAAACCACTGTTCAAACGATTTGCCATTCATTTCCTCGTGGTAATCTCCAGTTTTCTTAGACTCAAAGCACCACAGACCGTTAACAACAAATCCATCCTCACTGCCAATATGGCAGATAATGAGCCTTTTCCCTTTACCTGGAAATCGAAGTACTAACTAGTGTAGATTTATTTCAATACCTTTTTCAAATGTTTTCATCACATTCAGCGAAAAAACATTGAGACATGAGTATCAGATTGCTATAATTGGGATTATTTAGTCATATTGAAAGAAAGAATATTGAACGTCGTATGATTACTCAGCGCTTCACAATTTAATTTAAAGTTATAAACCTTTAAAACATAAATGATCAGGAACCTGAAATACGCGCAAATATTAATATTAACAAATTATAACTTTATAAAGCTTAAAGTATGAATTAAAATGATTAGAAATATTAGGAACTGTACACAATATAAAACTTAGTAACTTTTTTTAAGTTTATAATATTCGACATATTTTAAGATTATATTAAAAAATTATTGAAATATCGAAAACACATAAAAACATGGCTTAAAAAAGTTCTAACAAATGAAAATGACAATAAAACATCCACGCATTTTATCGAAAGTTATAAAAGTTTTGTTACTTGTAATATGTTTTATCTGCCCCCTGGAATTAATGTTTAGAACCTTGTTCCCAAGGTTTGAAAAACATCCGATTGTTGTCTGTTACTCGTATTTACCTGCTGGATTTTTTAATCCGGTGGACAGTCCATCTAGAAAGGCCCTCCTAGATGAAGTTACAGAATCATCAACCCATACTTTACTTGTAGTGTGTCCTGCGTTTACCCACGTTTCATCAAGGTAATAAATCTTCCTGTTTTGATTTCTATATTTCCCAATTTTTGTTAAATAATCCCTCCTCCATAGCACAATTTCTTCTCTATCCAGTAGTAAACTATTACGACCCCGTTTTTTCCATTTGAAATTTAAATGCTTCAGTAACTCATGGAAAGTTGATCGTTTGAAATTTGGCAACGTTGTATCTCCATTTACCTCCTGCAGTACTTTATCTGTAGTAGGTATTTCATTCCTAAAGAAGAATTCATGCACTTTCCTCCTAATCGCATGCTTATCAGCTTCATCCAATGATTTAACAATACTTTTGCGATGTTTACTGGTCATTGGCTCAGAAAAGGTGTGATTTTTTTTGTATTGTCTTAACACATTAAACACTGATGCGCGACACACCCCAACTTTGTGAGAAACCTTCACAACAATTTCTTTGATGGTTGATGCCTCGTTCTCCTCGCGCTCGATCTTATATATATTCAAAATGACCTCTTTCATTTCTGCACTCAGGTGTCTTTTTTTAGAGCGTTTCCTAGGTGGACTACAGCAGTTTACAATTTCATCGGCAGTATCTGTACTACTGGGCATTTTGCGCAAGCAGTTGATAACAATAACAATCAATAACAAGGTATAACAATAACAACGACAAACTCAACAACTTAATAAGATAACAAACGAAAACGTCCAAAGAAATATCAAATTGCAATGATGCACACGACATACGTAACACGTCTGAATCTGAATGTGACTCTGCCTTGATACGACTGCTTTGCCGCTCGGCATAGGCATTTAATTGCGAATTGACCAATGAGGGCTCCTGTTTTACGTCGAGACGGCGGCGTTAGCGTGAAAATCACCCGAACCTTTTGTTTACATCCGGTCTATCTCTTATCTGAATATACTGTAGATCTGAATTCCGTCCATGAGCTCATGAGAGACATTCCAAGAAAGTTGCGTCTGGTAGAGCAGAATGGGCCACTCCACATAATTTGATAGTACAGTTTAGCTAAGTATCGACTTGTGACTTATGATAACTAGTTAGGGTTTAAATAAATTTGTACATTAAAAAAAATCCGATAAATACTTTGTGCTAACACTTTTAAGACATAAGTTACATGATATACATGCTCTGAATGGGCACATAACCCACGCTTATGTAGGGCAGACCGGGGCTAGTTATCACAATTTTCAGTAATTCTTTTTTTATTCCATCTGCAGCGTTATATGCACATATTTGGTGCATAACTAATATGGTTTATCCTTTGGGAATAAGGCTGTAAAATAATTCACAATATTAAATTAAAATGTTTCAAAATACAGAAACAAATGTGACAACTTGCCCCTTGCTGGTGCTGGATGTCACACTGCATGCATATTGGTTAAAAAGGTTTTATCAACTGTTCAAACAGAAGATATATATCTGGTACAAATTCTAGGTAAATCATTCGACACTGTCGGTATTTCATTTCTGACATTTGTCAAATTGTTGTATAACACCTGCATGCAACACCTAAATATTCTAATAAACTAAAGACAACATGGATATGCCATGATTCTATACAATCACCCGCCATATTGGGCAAACATTTATTCCTCTATTTGATATTAAATAATTATGTTTCATTTCGAAATTACAAATATAAAGTGATAAACATTAGTGTGCTTGTGTCTAAATATAGGATTTGTGGAAGATTTAACGCAGATAAGTTCAGCTTTCCATCTTAAAAATCTAGACATACTTTTGATCATTATCAAAATATGAATCAAATACGAAGCCCGTAGAAATTGCGTAACTACTTTGCACGATAATCACAATAAAATTTACTGCGCAAGTAATTCAATAGCACTATATCACAGTGTTGAAGTTTATCATATACTTGTGTATGAAATTCACAATGGCCGATATGTAAGTAAACAAGATGACTGTACTGTGTTAGTTATATATTCTTCATTTCGTCTATACAATACATAAGAATGGTTGCAATAAAGTAGAATCACGTAACAGAATAGTTGTATAGTTGACAAAAGCTGAATCTTGCACTGACGCAAATGTCCTATAGCGGCTGCAAGAGGCTTACACTTTTGTTGTATAACTGTTACCTGCAGCCCTTATACAACCTCTTAAATGACTGAAGTGTCCTATTAGGTGTGCCCATTCCGCTTGTATAGCTGTTCTAAGAGGGTTTTGCCAATGTTCTTACAGTATACAATGCTGTGTAAGGAATACTGTGTAATCATTCTTGCAACTCTAATAGGAGTGATAATTGTTAGTTGGGTAAGGCCTATTTTGGTAAAGGACCTTGAATTACAACCTTATAATCTTCAAGTAGCGCAGGAATTGAAACCACCTACGCAGTGCATTCGCCGAAACAATCTTAGAGCGCTTTCCAAGTTTGAACAAGATTTTCGTTTCTGATAGCTTATTTCCATGTGAGTGGATTGGTCAACAAGCAAAATTTCCCGGTAATGGGCCAGAGAAAAACCCAAATTGAAACACCAACGACCTTTGCGTTCGCGTTAAGCCGCGTACAGACCGAAAACCGAACGCCGAGCAAGCGAATGCAAGCACATGTGACGTTGGCGTTTGTTGCTGGAAGGTGTTGGAATGCGCTCACCTACACCTAACATTAGTTTCGACTTGGACCGCGTTGGGTTAAGTTCGGTGCTAATGTCGAGCGACGAGGACGATCTACTGCTGGCGAGTGCGGGGTTTTTAATAACACGTTCTCAAGAAAAAGAAGAAACAGCCTAGACTTTGGTGGATAACAACATCATTTAAAAATAGTGCCTTATATAGTGGTAGGAATCATCGGACACGCACAGCTCAAGCACAACATTTCCGAGGAGATGTCCGCTATCCCACAAGCTATTTACCGGTGAGTTTTCACGAATTTGGAGTCGAGATTCGAGGAACGCCTACGTCTCGATGGCTCATATCTCAATGATGTTATTTTAAAAAAATAAAATTCCCACGTGTCTAACCTTATTATAAATATAAATGATTTTTCCTGCGCTTTGTAGTTTCTTTCTATGATTTTTTGAAATCCGCTCAACTTAATTGCATTGTATATGGAGGATAAAATATGTAAGGCTCATACCTCACTTATTACTACTCACCTCAAAGCTAATAAGTCCACTATGGTCCTGATCTAAGGTGTTGAACACGTAATGTGCGTATTGGTGGGTGTTGGCTGAAACAAAGAAAGTAGAACACGCATTCAGTTTTTATTTTCTAGAAAACTTGAGTAGAACGTTCTATGGCGGGAGGTATATAAAGATCGAGTCGCAATCATGCACGTACCAAAAAACGGTCGAAGACACATGGAAAATATAAAACACAAAGTAATAAAACAAAAAAAAAATTACCAGAAGCTTGAACATTTTGAGATAAACAAACAAATGGACGTATTTTATTTCATTTCACAAATATTCAAGATACAAACCAATCAGTTACATATCGGCCACGCTGTATGATTTGGTTTTCCAAGTTCTTATTCAGGATAAGCTTAAACGTCAAACAAGAATAGTTTATGGTTAATATAGGTAACAAGAAGGTCTAGTCAGCTTATGGCGAAACGGCAGCAGATGTATACGGACGGAGCAACTTGTCACACAGCTAGGGAAACAATGAATCCTTTGCGAACAATATTTCCGGGACGTTCAATTTCCTGATTTGGTGATGTCAACTGGCCACCAAGGTCACCGGATTTAACGGCTCCTGACTTTTTTAACTGGATTTTTGAAAAATATGGTATATAAAACATAACACATAAACTGTAGAGCAGCTGAAGAACAATATTACGGAAGTGATTGAAAATATTCCTCCCGAAACCTTCACATTTATCTGATATTATTTTTTATACATAATCTCTAAGTTTCAATAAAAAATCAAGATGAAAAAAATATAAGTATTTTATATCGTTACACAAGTATTCAAGATACAAACCAGTCAATTACAGATCGGCCACCCTGTACAACGAAAAAATGAGCCATATTAAAATCCATGTCCGACACTGTTTACTATACTAAGTGACATATAAATCCGAACACCCAGTTTAAATGGTTTTATTTTAATAAAATTTTGTATAAGTACTTAATGAAGCATAATAAGTAAATGATAAAAATTTCAAAATGATTGCACTGCTTTAAAGCCCTTTGAACTTTAATAATGTGTGGATGCACCCTGATGTGCTACGAATTCTCCAACGCGCCTAGGCATGCTTCTGATCAGGTGGTCAATGTCCTCCTGTGGTATCTCATTCCAGGCAACCACCAACTCCTCTCGAAGTGCTTCTAGAGTCTGAGGAGGACGTTGCAAATTGAGCAATCTCCTATCCATCATATCCCACACGTGCTCAATTGGGGATAAGTCATTTTGTTGAAAGAAGTCTATTGTGACTCTTGCAAAATGTGGTCGGGCATTATCTTGTTGGAAAGTTGGATCTGCCAGGGTGTCAAGATAGGGTAAAAGATGGGGTTCTAGAACTTCGTGGATATAACGCTGCGCGTTCATGTTATCTCTGATGAAGATTAAAGGTGACCTGGAACCATAAGCTATAGCACCCCAAACCATAACTCCAACAGTGTGATGAACATGTCTTTCAACAAAAAACTGTGGATTCCTCCTGTCACCACGTCGCCTTCTAACCCTGGCACGACCATCGTGCCTGCCTAAACAAAATCGAGACTCGTCACTAAAGACAATACTGTTTCATTCCTGATCCCAGAGTGACCGTTGTCTGCACCACTCAAGGAAATTACGTCGGTGTTCTCGAGTTAAAGGGAGGACCCAGTGTGGCCGGTATGAAAACAAGCCAAAACTTCTCATTCGTCGGTAAACACTTCGCATGCCAATAGGTCTTCCGTGTTCTGCAAACCATTCATTTGCAATGGACCTGGTAGTGGAGAAACGGTCCCTTAAGGCCAATAATCTTAGGCGGCGATCTTCACGGTCTGTTGTTCTACGGCGGCGTCCAGTGCTCCTTGCTCTTTGCGTACGGCCTTCTCGAAACCATGCCTGACAACATCTAACCACAGTGTCTACACTTCTTTGCACTCTAACTGCAATTGCCCGAAAAGAATGTCCAGCTTCCCGAAGTCCCACTATACGGCCCCTATCAAACTCACTAAGTTGACGAAATCGTACAGGTCTCCGTACTCAAAATCCGCCAACGTTGATTCTTTACTGCGGCTGAAATATTCATTTTTAGAGCGTTAGTGAATTAAAAAAAAGGAGTATAAAAACCGGAATGTCCAACTGATAAGGCTGAAAATTTTCTCACTTGTTATTTACAGTAAGATAAATGCATTCACCAACTTTTATTAAAATAAAACCTTTTAAACTGGGTGTTCGGATTTATATGTCACTTAGTATATATGATCACCAAGTCTGGGCGTCCAGTGGAAACAGATATAAATAAACTTAAGGCATTAATCGAAGAAGATCCTGGAAATAGTACTCGTGATTTGGCTACAGAGCTCAGGTACTCTCATGGCACGATAGATAATTAATATATATGTATATATATTTATATATACACAGTATTTATAGTTAATTGCTCAAACCGTTAGAAGAAAGTATCTTTGAATTTATTTGGGATGAAGGCAAAGTTTTGTAAAAGTACAGTCTTTTAACTTAACCTCAAGCTTTCGACGATCTAAGCCATCATCATCAGGAGCTAAAAACAGAATTTGGAAATAGCAACATTGCACAATTAGGAGGATTATCATTACTTACTAAGTCGTCGAGTTTAATAATAATAATAATAATAATAATAATGTCTTTATTCCCACAAAAGAAAATACAAAACAAGTTGCAAAACCAGTTAGTTTTATATGGACATATAGTGGGAGGAGTGAAGTTCGGCATATCCGCTCTTCCACTTAACCCCTGGTTTTAGGTTTACATCATAATAAGATAAGCATATATATAAATGAGGTAAAAAATATATGTATGTATAAGCAGTATCAGAGAATGGACCCTAGCGTCTAATTTGATAAACGGTACTATAAAAATACATAATATTACAGCAACATTGTTGCTGTAAATGTTCTTAAGTGACAGTGGATGAGAACACCTAGTCAACGAAGAAAAAGCTGGATCGATGAGGTTCAATTAGGACGAAATTTTTAACTATTAATTATTTACTGACTAAACCATAGCTATGTTTTTCAAAAAACCACTAACGGATTCAGAAGAATTAATAAATAGTTAATAATTCTCTAATTCTTCTAAATTTGTTAGTGGTTTTTTGAAAAGCATAACAGTTTTGCCAATAAACAATAATTAAAAATTTTGTCCTAATTGAACCTCATCGGTCAGCCTTTTGTTCGTTGACTATGTGGTCTCATCCACTGTCGCTTAAGAACAATTTCAGCAACAATCTGGCCTACTTAGTAAGTAATAATAATCCGCCTAATTGTGTAATGTTGCTATTTCCAAATTTTGTTTTTAGCTCCTGATGATGATGGGATAGACCATCGAAAGCTTGAATTTAAGCTAAAAGAGTGTACTTTTGCAAAATTTTGCCTTCATCCCAAAGAAATTCAAGGATATATAATTGAAGACAAGTTTTTTGTTTGCGTACTCCACCAGATGAACAAAGTTCAACTTGTATACATCTGCTGCCGTTTCGCCATAAGCTGATTAGACCTTCTTGTTACCTATATTAACCATAAACTATTCTTGTTTGACGCTTAAGCTGATCCTGAATAAGGACTAGGAAAACCAAATTATACAGGGTGGCCGATACGTAACTGACTGGTTTGTATCTTGAATATTCGTGAAATGAATTTTTTTCGTCTAAATCTTTTATTGAAACTTAGAAATTGTGCATGAAAGATAATATCAGACAAATATTCGCCCCTAGAAGCCACAAAAACCCGATCCCTTTAAACAACTACTACGGCACCACCTACTGAAATGCATGTATCAAAAATGGCGCGCGATTTAAATCAGTCAGTTATACAGGGTGTCCGCAAAGTTGGGGATTTCCTTTTCCGAAACAACTACCCTTGAAATAACAAAGGTAATGTGTAGTGAAACGAGGGCGACCAAGTAAAAAAAATAAAGGAAAAAGTACTCACTCGCCAGTTGACGAGAAGGGCTAAGTACGTCTCTGCCCGAAATCATACCGCTCCAACAGAAAATGAAATCAGCTGATGCGCTACCGAGCAGACGCCGGCGGTGGTGCAGACCACGAACAGAGGTAACAAATATGACGGCGTTGCCGCGTTTTCAGTTTTTAGGTAAACGTACTTTATAGGTATTGTTCGAAGTTATCGCCGTTTGATTCAAAAACACAGGCGTAGCCAAGCATCGGTGCAGGCTTTGAGAATGGAGTCCCTCCCCTGAATGAAAGCACCAGCTTGTTCAGTTCTGAGACGAAGTTCTTCAACCGTATGCAATTCAGTTTTGTACACTAAGCGTTTCATTTCTCCCCAAAGAAAAAAATCACATGGTGTTAAGTCTGGAGATCGCGGAGGCCACGCTACGGGTCCATTACGTCCGATCCACCTATTCGGAAATAATTCATTCAAAAACTCTTGCACTTCGCGTCTAAAATGGGGCGGTGCACCATCGTGCAGAAACCGCATTGATTGTCTTACACTTAATGGCACATCTTCTAACAAGGAATGCAAAATGTTGCGTAAAAAGTCTAGGTATTGCATCCCGTCCAATCGATTTGGGAGAATAAATGGTCCAATCCATTCACCACGCCAGCCCAAACGTTCACCGAAAATGTTTGTTGAAAATGTGCCCGACGGACAGCGTGCGGATTTTCTACTGACCAAACATGAGTGTTGCGAAAGTTATTCACCCCATTACGCGTGAACGTAGATTCGTCTGTCACCAATATGCACTTCAAAAAGTCCGGATTATTGTCATGTTGATGCAACAACCACTCACAAAACCGCACTCTTGCTGGAAAATCGTCAGGTTGAAGGGCGTGTACACGTTGGACGTGAAACGGATACAGCCCCTCTTCACGCAGCGTTTGCCACACTTTAGTTTTTGATACTTGCACTTCTCTAGCCACGTCTCTAGTGCTTGTTAAGGGATTCTCGTCTACCTCTACACGCGTGACCGTAACCGACGGTTGAAGGTTGCATGCTGACCTGACACACTGACCCCGACCCAGTTCTGTCGTCGGGTTGAGCCAGTGACCTTGTACCACTCGGGGATGTC